CGGCGGCGGCGGCGGCTCGCCCCGCGCCGCCCGCGCCGCCGCCGCCGTCCGCGCCGGCGTCGCGAACGCCGTCGCTCCCGCGTCGACGCCCCGACGTCGCCGCGAATTGGAAGTCGCCGCTCACGGAGTCGTTCAGCGAGGACGTGCGCGCGATGATGGACTGGGCGATGGTGCGGTACCGGGATAAGTCGCACCCGCTGTTCATCCCGGGCGCGAACTACGACCGCCTCGTCGCGAAGCTATCAAACTCGGTCGTGGAGAAGGAGCAAGCGCAGTGGAAGGAAGGGCAGAGCGCCATCGATAGCGGCGCGTTGGAGACGCGGATGAATGCGTACGTGCAGTCTCAGGTGGAGCACATGCACGCGCAGCACTTGCAGAACGGCGGAGGGAGGTGACGCGACGACGCGTGAAGTCCTCCCTCCGCGAGGGGATGGGACGGGACGGAGGAGGAAGGAGTCCGAGAAGACTGACTTTTCACGTGCTTTTCGCATGAGTCAAATCAAAAAAAGTTTTTCAAATCTACGCGTCCGCGTCGTCGTCGACCGCCGCCGCCGCCGCCGCCGCGTCCGCGTCTCCGCCCAGCCCGACCCCGGTCACAAACGCGAGCTTCCCCGGGGTCTGATGCTTCGCGAACAGCGTCGTCCACCTCGGCATCGCCTTCCTCGCCGCGGACGCGGTCGCCGTCTCGACGTCGTGGTCCGCGCGAACGGTCACGACGCCTCGCCCCGCCGCGCAGTGCGGCAGCACCTGACGAGGGTGATCGTCCATACGCGTACGTCGGGGTGGAGTCGAAAGGCGCGTCAGAAGCGGAGTCGAAAGGCGTCATAGGGTCGAGCGTTTGTTGAAAGCGAGGGTCGGTGAGCGAAGAGGATCGTCGGGAGAGAAAGTCCTTCTCAAGGATCGGCGTTCACGACGCGAACGCGGTCGTATGGGGACCAGTGTGATGACGCGCCTGACCGCCGTACCGCGTCGGCTCGATCCACACCGCGTATCGCGACGGCGCGTTCGCGCCCCCGGAGCCGTGGAACGCGTACCGCCCGAGCAGCGCGTCGGTGCCCTGGCCGGACGCGGCGGCGGCGACGACGCGCCAGACGCGGTCGTCGTCGGGGGGTGGGCGACTTCTTCCGCCGCCGCCGCCGCCGCCGAGGCGATGCAGAAACGAAAAAAGTCTGGCGAAGGCGGGGTGCAACTTGATCAGCTTGCGCGCGACGCCGCCGCCGCCGCGCTCGCCGCCGCCGCCGCCGAAACCGCCGCTTCCGGCGACCGGGACGATCGCGACTCTCTTCACGCACGCGCGATCGATCCCGACCACCCAACGCGTCGCGCCGTTCAAATCCAGATCGACCGCGATCGGACCGGCGCCGCCGTCGTCGTCTCTTCGAACCGTCAGCGTCGGCGGCGCGCGAACCCTCGCCTCGCTCGAGTCGTCCAACCCCTCCGTCCGCACCAGGCAATACGCCCTCAGATCGTCCGTGCCGTACGACACGAGGTCGAGGTACCCTGGGGCGCCGCCGCCGCCGCCGCGGCAGTCCACGCGCGCGCCCGGCGCGCTCCGCAACGCCGCGGCGAGCCCTCTGAGGGTCGAGGGTCCGTATGAAGCGACGTCGGGGTGGGGTTGAAAGGCGTCAGAAGCGGAGTTGAAAGGCGCCGAGGGCGGGGATTGAAACCAACGAGGTGTGGGCGGAGAGAGAAGATAGCAAAAGTCCGTAAGGATCGGCGTTCACCACGCCGACGCGGTCGTATGGGAACCAGTGTGAATAGGAGAACGCGCCTGAGCGACCCGGGCCCCGCCGGCTGCACCAACACCGCCGCCGCCGGCGCCTCCTTTTCGAACCGCGTGGACGACGTCCCGGTCGCGCCCGGGACGACCGTCGTCATCACGACCGGTAACGGCTTCGTAACGCTCCACGCGCCGCCGTTCATATCCGAGTGCGAGATCCACAACGTCGCCACGGTCGCGACGAAGAGAACGGTCGCGGCTTTCGCGGCGCGCGCGTTTCGACGCGACGTTTTTTTCGAGTGGACCAGCATCGGCGAGAGGAAAATCGCCGCCGCGCCGCACGCCGCGCCGGTCACCGCGCCGTACGCGTGTTCGCCGCCGCCGGCGTCTCGGCCCACGAGCGACCGACCGGTCATCCCGAACAGGAGCGAGACGAGCGTGACGACGACCGGCGACGCGACGTACAGGGGTACGGCGAGCGCGAGCGCGATTTTCGCGAGCGACGGGAACCGCAACCCGTCGTCGCCGCCGCCGCCGCCGGTCGCCGTCGGCCTCGCGCGCTTCCGACCGCGCAACACCTCGAAGACGAGGAACCCGCCGAGGAAGACCGCGAAGACCGCGAAGACGTACGCGCCGCCGAGACCCTTGAGGACGGCGTATCCGGCGAGGAAAAAAAACGTCGACGCGACGCCCGCCAACGTCGCGCACGACGCCGCCGCGTCCGAGCCGCCGACGCACCCGTCCGCGAGGAGATAGTGTAACACCCGTAACACTCCCAACGTCGCCAGCGTCGCCGGGACGGTCGAGACGCAGACTAGCGACGCGACGGACGACGCCCACGGCGTCGCGGCGCCGAGAAGCGCGGACGCGCCCGCCGCGGAGACGGCGCCGGCGAGAGGCGCGGCGGCGAACGCGGCGGCGGTCACGACGCCGACCAGCGGCGCCGCGAGCGCGTTCTTCAAGAGCTCCGTCGGCGCCGGAATCTCCCCGGTGACCGGATGTAAACCCGCGAGGAACGCCGTGCGCGTCGTGAAGAGTAAGATTGCCGCGCCGGCGTAGAAGAAGTACTTGCCCGCGGAGCGCGGCACGTTCTCGACGACGACGTAATCGCGCGAAAACGGAAACGCGTTTGAGAACCACCACGTCGTGAAAACGCTCTTCTTCGAGGCGTTACCACCCGTGGGTTCCACGTCCGGGTCTCGCGAGACGCCGCCGGGTTCGAAGACCCCCGCGGGGGCGGCGACGAACGCGCGAGCGAACGCGAGAAGGTTCGCCCCCGAGGTTTGCGCCGTCCCCGGTCTGACTGCGCTAAGGACGTCGCGTGGGGTGTGGTACCGCTCCGTTCGCTCCACGAACGCGAAATCGAACCCGGGGACGTTCCCGACGTCGCGATAGATTCGATGGTCGGTGTCGGACTTGATGACGCCCGCGGCGAAGACGTCGGACGCCACCGCCGTCCCGCTCGGCCGCGGCGCCGCCTTGGACCACAGTTTCAGGAGTTGTATCGAGTCCCCGCCGGCGGTGACCTGAAACATACGATGCGGCCCTCCGTTGCCCATCGCCTCTAGGTTTAACGCGCACGTCACGGAGGGGAACCACGGGTGCGTCGTCGCGACGCCGTGCGCGCCGTGGAACCCTTCCTCTTCCGCGGAGACGAAGACGACGATCACCGAACCCGCGTTCGCGCGAGAGGCCCACGGGTTTCGAACGTTTCGGTTTCGAACGTTTCGGTTTCGAACGTTTCGGGTTTTATCTTCGTCGTCGTCTCCGGCGGCGGCGGCGGCGGTGCCGAGCGCGCGCGCCACCTCGAGCGCGATCCCGACGTTGATCGCGTTATCCGACCCGCCCGGGGAGACGTGCACGCTGTCTACGTGGGCGCTGATCATCACCGCGCCGTTGTTGGCGTATTTATACTCCTCCTCGTCGGCGGACGTGGCGTCAGCGGATGCGGCGTCTCCGCCCTCTCCGCCGTCCTCGTCGTCCGCGCGACGGAAGCGCACCGCGACGGACGTCACGTCGCCGTACACCATCGTGATCTCCTTGTTCGGATCCCCGCCCGGGTTGAGCGGGAACTGCCCGGAATGCGACGCGCGGAGGACGTCCACGACGACGCGGTCGCGGTCGCCGCCGCGATCGCCGCGGCCGGCGGTCGCGTCGTCCACCGCGCGCTTGATCGCGCGGAGTTCGTCCTCGATCGCGTCGAACGCGGCCGCCTCGTTCGCGGACCCGACCGGCCTCGGGCCCGCGCGCTCGAGCGAATGCGCGGTCTTGAGCGCGCGCGCTTCGGAGAAGAGCGCGGGGTGCGCGGTCTGCGGGCGGGGGAGGAGGACGGGACGGGACGGGACGGGGTAGAGGTGAGAGGCGAGCGCGTCGCGATGGAGGCGACGGATCGGATCGATCGATCGTCAGCGCGCGCGATCGGAAACCTAACAACGACGACGACGACGGCGCGCCCGACCGCACCTTCGGGAGCGGCGACGCGAGCCTCCGGTCGAAGGACACGCCGAGGTACATCGCGAGGAGGGCGATGGCCCAGGCGAGGACGAAGCCATCGGACTTGCGCGCGCGCGAGGACGCCATGCCGGCCGTCGCGCGAGTCGTTCTGCCGTCGTCGTCTGACGCGAAGGACGAGTACGGTCTAACGGTCGCGGTTTTCGGACACGACCGAGGAAAAAGTTTTCGCCGTCGTGGCTTTTCTCACTTCCTCTCGCGCGCCGCCACGCCGCGTCTCGCACGGCGATCATGCCAACCGGACGTAAGAGCAAACCGTTCATCGAGTGGTGCGCGGAGAACGGGAAGCGCGGCGAGAAGCTCGCCAACGAGTTCCGCGAGGAGCTGCCGACGGAGCTGACGAAAGCGTCGAAATACAAGGCGAAGTGGAAGTGTTTGAAGTGCAAGCACGTGTGGCGGGCGCAGATGTGCCACCGCACGAAGAGCGACAAACCCCACGGGTGCCCGAAGTGCGCAAATCGCATGTCGCTGAGCAAGACGAACAACTTCCTCTCGTGGTGCGAGAAGAACGGCGAGCTCGGAGAGAAGCTGTCGCGCGAGTACGTCGATAAGGACAAGCCGCCGACGGCAGTGACGAAAGCGTCGCACTACAAGGCGAAGTGGAAGTGTTTGAAGTGCAAGCACGTGTGGCGGGCGACGGTGAACGACCGCACGAGGAGCGTCAAACCCACCGGGTGCCCGAAGTGCGCGACACATGCGCCGGCGAGCAAGACGAACAACTTCCTCTCGTGGTGCGAGAAGAACGGCGAGCTCGGAGAGAAGCTGTCGCGCGAGTACGTCGATAAGGACAAGCCGCCGACGGCAGTGACGAAAGCGTCGCACTACAAGGCGCTGTGGAAGTGTGAGGAGTGCTCTTACGAGTGGCGGGCGACGACGCGCGACCGCACGAGGAGCGACAGACCCAGGGGATGCCCGGGGTGCAACCCCCTTGGAGAAAACTTCCGCAAGAAGCGTAAGCGCGACGACTAACGTCAAACGACTTTCGTATTTTGGTCGTCAGCACTGAGGCTCGACTCCGCGTTCTACGACTACCTACGCTCGCTATCGACGCGCCCCGACGCGCGTCGGCGTCGTCGCCGCGGGACCGCCCGGCGACGGAAAACCGCGCGACGCCATCAACGTCGCCGCGGGCGTCGGCGACGCGATCGCGAGCCGCGGCGGAAGGTCGCCGCCGCCGCCGCCGCCGCCGCCGCCGACGCCGAGCGTTTTCCGCGCCGCGCCCATCGCGAGCAACGTCGCGCGCGCGCTCCCCGGGGACCCTTCCACGCTCACCCTGAGCTTCTCGCTGACGTCGTCCGCGAGCCTGCGCGCGCGGAGCAGCAGCTCGTCCTCCTCCGGTGGCTCTGCGGTTCCGTAACCGCCCGCGGCGGACGGTTTCGTTTTGGTCTTAATCGTATTCTTCCCCGACGACCTCGACCTTCTTCTCTCCTCGATCCCCAACGTCAGACGCGTCGTCCGCTCCTCTTCCCTCGCGCGCCTCGCCGCGTCCGCGACCGCGCGCGCGTCGCACTCGACTCGGTGCATCGGCGGATGGAACGACCCACAAAACGCACCGCCTCTAGACGTCACCTCGTTCGAGCGGTGACGCATCCCGCTCGGCGCGCGCGATGACGCCCGCCGCGTCCTCGCGACGCTCTTCGAGACGTCGGAGACGTCCACGACGGCGAGCTGTGAGCGACGGATTCGGGTGGAGTCGAAAGGCACGTCGGTCGGAGTTGAAAGGCGACGAGGTCGATCGGTCGGGGATTGATTGAAACCGGGGGGCGGGCGGAGAGTAGTCTATCACGAGTGAGGAGAACAGGTGGACGCGCCTTCGAGCTCGCGCACGCGTTCAAAATCGCCGCTCTCTCCTTCGCGCGCATCTTCCGCCCCCCCGCCGTCGCGACGCTCGCGGCTTTCATCGCGGTGCTGAACGTCGCGCGGTCGGGCGCGCGCGCGCCGCCCAGGTCTCTCGTCACCGACGCTCGCTTCGCGTCGGCGAACGCGGACGGCGCGACGGTTCGACGCTCGAGGCGCGCCTGGAACGCGAGCGCGGGGTGCGCGCCGCGCGCTGGTTTCGGATTCCTCTTCGTAACCGCCGACGCGTGGCCGTTACGAGGGTTCGGGTGCACGTCCGCGGACGTCAGCGCGGCGGCGTAGTAGTCCCGCGTCCCGGTGACGGACGCGCGGCGGCGGACGGCTACCTCGGCGTCGGCGTCGGCGTCCGTCTCCTCCTCCGCGCCGAGTTCGAGCGGCGCGGGGGAATCGCTCCACGAGACGCGACGGCGGGGGCGCGTCGGCGTCGGCGTCGCGCTCGCGCCGGCGTCCGCGGCGGCGAAGGAGGACGACAAAAACGACGACGACGTCCTCTCCCTTCCTCTCCCCTCGACGCGGAACCTGGACGACGTCGACGCGCGCCGCGTCTCGGCGACGACCGGAACGACATCCGCCGCCGCCGCCGCCGCCGTGTCTTTCTCCGCGCGAGGCCTGTCGAGCGCTTCGCGCAGCAGCGTCAGCGGCGTGACGCGCAGGTCGCGAAGCGCGGGGTCGCGAAGCGCGCCGCCGCCGCCGCCGCCTCCGTCGCCGTCCTCCTTCCACCTCGGCGCGGACGGGTCCGCGTCGTCGTCCTCCTCGAGAACGAATCGCGACGACGGCGACGGCGAGTGCGACGACGACCACGGCGACGCGCGCGCGAGCTCGTCGTCCGCGCGACGCTCGACCGCGAGCACGGCCTCGAGCGCGGTCGGCTTCCGGTCGCGCACGCGCGCGACGAACGCGCGGCCCCCGTCCCCGTCCCCGTCCCCGTCCCCGTCCCCGTCCCCGTCCCCGTCCCCGTCCCCGTCCCCGTCCCCGTCCCACAGCGCGCGCTGCAGCGCGTCGAACGCGCCCACGCGGATCGGATCCGCGCGCGTCGACGCGGAGACGCGCGCGTCGTCGTCGCGCTCGTCCTCGAGCGTCGCCGCGCGGGCGCGCCGCGCGGCCTCGACCCTTCGCCGGAAGTCGGATATCACCGCGTCGCGGACGACGGGCGACGGCATCGCGGCCGGCGGTGTGGTGAGACGAGGGCGGAGCGGGCGGGACCTCAAAACTCAAATAACAACCGCGACCACGGCGTTCGTCGCGAGATCGCCACTTTTGCCATGCGCCGCGTCGCCCCGGTCGCTGGCGCGTCGTCGAACGCGATGACGATCGGCTCCGCCCTCCGCCGCCGCGCGGGCGGCCTCCTCGGACGAAGCGTCGCGCGCGCGCGCGCGACGGTCGCGTCGATCGACGCCGGCGCCGGCGCCGGCGACGCGACGACGACGACGACGTCGCTTTCCCGCGCGAAATCGTCGCCCGCCCCGCGATCGGCGCATCATCTTCTTCATCATCGTCGCGTCGACCGCGTCGCGCTCCTCGCGTCCCCAACGCGCCAAAACCACCGCGGCCGCGGCGCGACGATCGTCGCGACGCGCGGCGCGTTCGGCGGGAGCGCGTCCGCGTCCGGCGGGAAGACGTCCAAGGCGGCGAAGCAGCGCTACCTCTGCCAGGACTGCGGCGAGGATTACAACCAATTTCACGGGCGGTGCCCGAACTGCAAGGCGTGGGAGTCGTTCAAGACGTTCACGATCGCGCCGTCGGGCGGCGGCGGGAAAGCCCCGGGAGGCGGCGCGGGCGCGAGAGCGCTCGCGTCCGCGACGGAGACCGCGAGCAGTCCGGTGACGACATCGAACGTGCTTCCGGCGTCGTCGCGAAGAAGGAACGCCGCCGCCGCCGACGACGCATTCGCCGCGTCGGCGTCGCGAAGCGGGTGGGTCGAAGCGTCCGCGGCGCCGCGTCGCCTCGCCGCGGTCCTCGCCCCGGACGCGACCGGGAAAAACGTCCGAGGCGCGCGTCTGCGCGTCCCCACGGAGCTGGGCGCGGAGGTGGAGCGCGTCCTCGGCGGCGGGATCGTCCCGGGCGCGCTGATGCTCGTGGGCGGCGACCCGGGCGTCGGGAAGTCGACGCTCGTTTTGCAGATCGCGGGGCTCCTCGGCGAGCGCGCGCTGAAGAACGCGAACGCCGCGAAGGAAGACGCGGAAGACGCGGAAGATGCGGAAGATGGAACGTCAACCGTCATCGCTTCTGCTTCGCCGCCGCCGCCGAGCGTGATGTACGTCTCCGGGGAGGAATCGGTGGAGCAGCTCGCGGGCCGAGCGGAACGGCTCGGCGTCCACCCCGACGGTCTCGTCGTGTACTCCGCGACGAGGCTCGAGGCGATACTCGAGGCGGTCGTCCGCGAGCGCCCGGCCGCGCTGGTCGTGGACAGCATTCAGACGGTGTTTTTGGAGGACGCGACGGGGTCGCCGGGAAGCGTGTCGCAGGTGCGCGAGTGCGCCACCGCGCTGTTGCACGCGGCCAAGTCGGCGGGGATGCCGACGTTTATCATCGGCCACGTGACCAAATCCGGCGACATCGCCGGGCCCAGGGTCCTGGAACACATCGTCGACGTCGTGCTGTACCTCGAAGGCGACGCCGACCGCGCGGTGCGCGTGCTCAGGGGGCACAAGAACCGGTACGGCAGCACGGACGAGGTGGGCGTCTTCGAGATGATCGACGCGGGGCTCAGACCGGTCCCGAGCCCGTCGGCACTGTTCATGGGCGAACGCGTCCTCACCCCGGACGTGAGCGCGGCGCCAACGGTGACCGTGCAAGGCTCGCGACCGTTCATGCTCGAGGTCCAGGCGCTCTGCGCGGAGCGGGCGGGTGCGGACGACGCGGAGAACGGCGGCGGCGGCATGATGGCCCCGGCGGTGCGCACGGCGGTGGGCATCAAGCCGGAGCGGATGCAGGCGCGTTCGGTTCTATTATACCCGTGCACGCGTTTTTTTTTCACCCACTCCGTGGGTTCATCGACGTTCGATCGCGTTGGTAGTCCCTCCCTCCCTTTCAACTGACCGACGAACGCGCACGGCGTCGCCCTCTCATCCTCTCCATCAGCTGCTCCTTGCCGTGCTCGCGAAATTCGTGCTCGGCTCGAGAGTGCATCGCCACGACGTGTTCGTGAACGTCGTGGGAGGGTTAAAGGCGCGTTCTATCTCACACTGGTCCCCATACGACCGCGTCGGCGCGGTGAACGCCGATCCTTAAGGACTTTTGCCGGCGTGTCTCTCCGCCCAGGGTCCCTCGCTTTCAATCCCGACACACCTCGACGCCTTTCAACTCCGCTTCTGACGCCTTTCAACTCCACCCCGACATCGCTTTGTATGGAACGGCCCTAAAGCTCGAGGACCCGTCCGCGGACGTCGCCGTCGCGCTCGCCATCGCGTCGAGCTTCGTCGAGCGCGCGCTCCCCGCGGACATGGCGTTCTTCGGCGAGGTCGGGTTGGGGGGAGAGCTGCGCCCAGTGGCGCAGGCGGAGAGGCGGTTACAAGAAGCCGCGACGATGGGCTTCACGCGCGTGTTGATGCCCGCGGCGGGGAGCACCAAGGACGCGGGGAAGCGCCAAGGGGTGGAGGTCGTCTTGTGTAACACCCTCGCGGAGGCGCTGACCGCGTCGTTGGGGGTGGAGCCGAGGAAGAGCCGCGGCGGTGGCGGGTTCGGCGGCGGGAATGGCGGCGGGCGAGGCGGCAGAGGCAGAGGCGGACGAGGCGGCAGAGGCGGAGGAAGCTTCTGAGATGATTGATTCCGCGGGAGCGTCGGCGATCGAGTGTTAAAGAAAGCACACACGAAGCGCGTTCACCTCCGCCGCGACGCGCTCTGCGGCCGCGCCGGTCGCGGCCGTCCGACGCCCAGCCCCGGAACGCCGCCGCCGCCGTCTCTCGAGGAGGAATAGATTTCCCGCCGCGCGCCGCCTCCGGTTTTTCCTCCCCCTCCTCTCCCTCCTCCTCCGTCCCTATCCCTATCCCTATCCCCTCGCGGAAACCCTTTTCTGTCCTTCTCCAGCGCGAGCCACCGCCCGCCGTCGTCGCTGAACGCGATGTCGAGCACCGCCTGCACCCCCGGCTCGCGCAGCGGCCCGCCGTCGTGATCCCACGTCGTGCGCTCCGGGAGGTCCAGCTCGAGCGCGAGAATATTTTGCGTCTTGTGCCGCGGGTTTAAATCCCCGAGCGCGGCGGCGATCTTCGAGCTGTCCGTCCGCGGCCGTCGCTCGCCCGCGGCGCTGACCGGTCGCGCGTTTCTCGTCGCGGACGCGTTCGACGCGGACGCGGCGTCGGCGTCCCTTGAGAGGCGCTCGAGCGCCCACGACTCGGTCTCGTCCTCCCACACCGCTCGCTTCAAAACTTTCTCCGTCACCTCCGGAGGGACAAAGTGTTCGATGAGCGCGTTCTTTAGTTGTAACGTCTTCTTCAGGAGCGTTATCGATTCCTGCATGTCGTCCTTCTCTCGCGCCAGCTCGTCCGCGTGCTCCTCTAAGTCTTGCTTCGCGGTCTGGTACTTGGAGAACATCTTCTTCAGCTTTCGAGTCTTATCCGCGACTTCTTCTTTTTTCGACGCAAACTTTTCATCCGAGAGCAGCGCCTTCTCTTCCATCGCCGCGACCGCGCGCTGCCTCTCCAGCTTGAGCCTCTCGCGGTCCGCGATGTCTCTCACACCCTTCGCCGCCGCCTCCTCCAGTTGTTTATTCCGCGCCTCGAGGTCGTCCGCGCCGTGAAGAAGCTTCCCCTCGATCGCCTTGATCTGCGCCTGGAGCGCCTCCTTCTTCTCTCGCTCGCGACTCGCCGCCTCCGTCTGCGATTCGATCTCCAATCGCTGCGCCTCCATCTCGCTCGCGATCCTTCGCTTCTCCTCCTCCGTCGTCGCTCGGTCGTCCATGATGGCTCGCATCTCGCGCTGCGTGCGCTCCTCCGCGTCTCGGTGGATGCGGTCGATGTCCGCCTGCGTCGTCGCCGACTTGAGCTTTCCCGCCAACTCGTCCTGGACTTGTCTCTTGATGATCTCGAGCTGGTCCGCGTCCGGGTCGACCTCGACGACGACGGTCTTCTCCACGATCTCGAGCTCGCCGCTCTCGTCGAGGTCGTCGTGCGCAGCGTCGCCTCGCGCGGACGCGCCCGCGCCCGCGCCGCCGCCGAGCTGCGCTTTCAGACGCGCGATCTCTTCCTGGAACTCGCGTAACATCGCGTCCTTCGGGTCTTCGTTGATGCGCGGCTTGTTCTTGATGTTCTTCGCCCTGTTCGCGTACCGCAACGTGCTCATCGTCTCCTCGAAGTTGTAATCCGCGGGGCCGATGTTCGCCACCATGACCGTCTTCGTGTTACCCCCGAGCGAGTCCTCGAGCAGACGCGTCAGTTTCGAATCTCTGTACGGAACGTGCGTGCTCTTCCCGTCCACCAGCGACGATATCACGTTCCCCAACGTGCTCAGCGACAAGTTAATCTTCGTCGCCTCTTTCAGACGTATCCCCGTGGACCCCGTCTTCCCCTGCCGCTCGCTCCCGGCGAGATCCACCAAGTTCAACTTCCCGACGGTGATGTGCGCGTCGTCGTCTTCTCCGTCCGCCGCGGCTCCCGGCGGTCGATCGCTCGCGCTCCCCCCGGCCGCCCGCGCGCGTCTCCTCGAGCACTCGATCGTGATGGTGAATATCGAGTGCGACCGCGACGAGTCCGCGTTCATCAACGTCGCGCCGACGCTTCGGTTCTTCTTCCCGACGTTCAGCACGTTCTGAATCTCGCTCGCGGACTTGACCACGAACGTCGTCAAGTCTTTCACGTACACGCCCGACTCCGGGTGCTCCTTCAGCTCGTGCCGCCGGTTCTGGTCCTTGGCGAGCAAGTCGCGAATGTCCTCGTTGTAAATCTCCAAGTACGACGCGCGGACGAGGTACGTCGCGTCGACGTCCGTCGCGGACGAGGACGCGTCAATCTGATCGAACCCGTGTTGAACCGCGTTGGGAATGATGCCTCGCTCCGAAGCCGACTCCCGGCTTGCCCTCCATCGTGTGCGTCTTCCCCGTCCCCGTCTGCCGTTACGCGAAGATCGTGCCGTTGTACCCTTCCATCGCGGCGCGGACGATCGGCAGCGCGGTCGCCTCGAAGATCTCGAGCTGCGAGTGCCGCGCGTCGTACACCTGGTCGAACGTGAATCGCCTCGGCTCCGACGCGGAGTTCTTCGGGTCGCGGACGGCGATCTCGCCGCGCGACGGGTCGCACTCGATGATCTCGCCGCGGCCTTCCTTGAGCTCCTTCCCGAACAGAGGGCGGCAGCGGACGACGACCTGGACGGAGGAAGCGCGGGGGGAGGGGGACGGCGGGCGGGTGAGCGCGCGGCCGGGACGTCGGCGGGGACGAGGGAAGAGCGCGGAGGGACGGATGGATGGATGGGTGGGAAAGACGACGACGCGACGACGCCCCGCGCGCGAGGGGCGGGACGGGACGGGAAGGGACGGGTCGCGCACCTTGACGCACTCCCCCGCGGCCGCGTTCTGCATCTTCACCGCCGCGAGCGCGCCCTGCGCGCGCGCCTTAAACGCCATCGCGCCTCGCGTGCGCCGCGCGCGGACGCGAGTGCGGTCGCGCGGCGAAGCGTCGTCGTCGCGTCGTGGTCGGCGGGACAGGACGCGAGCTGTCGCCGTCCGGGTTGACCGAGTTTTGAAACGAACAGAACGATCTCCTCGGCGCGGACGACGACCGCCGTCCGTCGCGTGTCGCGTCGCGTCGCGTCGCGTCACAACAAACGACGCGCCCTTCCGCGCGGCGGCCCGTCGGCGTCGCGAGGAAGGAAGGAGCGCGGCGGCGGCGGCGGCGTCGGTCGGCGGTCGGCGATCGGCGACCTCCTCCGCCGGTCGTCGGTCATGGCGTCGTTCAAGAGCGGCGCGAGCGCGGTGCTCGCGGCGAATACGATGGAGCGAGCCGCGGCCGGGGAGTGCGTCAAGGTGGTCGTTCGATGTCGCCCTCTGTTCGGGAAAGAGCTCAAGGAAGGCCGCGGAGAGATCGTCGAGTGCGACCCGTCGCGCGGGGAGATGCGCATACGCAACCCGAGGTCGAGCGGCGACCCGCCGAAGCAGTTCACGTTCGACCAGGTGTACGACGCGCGGCACTCGCAGCTCGAGATCTTCGAGGCGACCGCGCTGCCGATCGTTCGCGCCGCGATGGAAGGGTACAACGGCACGATCTTCGCGTACGGGCAGACGGGGACGGGGAAGACGCACACGATGGAGGGCAGGACGAACGTGAAGGAGGAGCGGGGGATCATACCGAACGCGTTCGAGACGATCTTCGCGGACATCGACGCGGGGGACGGGACGAACAAAAACTTTTTAGTGCGCGCGTCGTACTTGGAGATTTACAACGAGGACGTGCGAGACTTGCTCGGGAAGGACCAGAAGAAGCCGTGCCAGCTGAAGGAGCACCCGGACACGGGCGTGTACGTGAAAGACTTGACGACGTTCGTGGTCAAGTCCGTGGAGGAGATTGAGAAGGTGCTCGCGGTGGGGAAGAAGAACCGAAGCGTCGGCGCGACGGCGATGAACGCGGACTCGTCGCGGTCGCACTCGATATTCACCATCACGATCGAGACGAGCGAGGTGGAGGAGGGCGCCGCGGATGAGGACGCGCGGATCCGCGTCGGGAAGTTGAACTTGGTGGATTTGGCGGGAAGCGAGCGGCAGGGGAAGACGGGGTCCACGGGCGACCGGCTGAAAGAGGCGACGAAGATTAACTTGTCGCTGAGCACGCTGGGGAACGTGATATCGTCGCTGGTGGACGGGAAGAGCACGCACGTTCCGTACAGAGATTCGAAACTGACGCGTCTGCTCGAGGACTCGCTCGGGGGTAACACGAAGACGGTCATGGTGGCGAACATCGGCCCCGCGGATTACAACTTCGAGGAGACGATGAGCACGCTGCGGTACGCGAACAGGGCGAAGAACATCAAAAACAAGCCGCGCATCAACGAAGACCCGAAGGACGCGATGTTACGCGAGTTCCAGGAAGAGATCGCGCGTCTGAAAGCGCAGCTCGGCGAAGGCGCCGGCGGCGGCGTCGGACCAGACGGCGAGCCGATCCGACGGCGGCGCAGAGAGCAAAGGGTCGTCGAGAAGACGGTGAACCAAGTCTCGGACGCGCGCTTGGACGCGATTCGCGAAACCGTGCGACGCGAGATGGAAGAAAACCACGAGAAGGGCCTCGAGGCCGCGGAGGCGGAGAAAGCGCAGAAGATCGTCCGCGAGCGCGCGAACGAGGCGATGCAGCGGCTCATGGAGGAGAAGACGCGCACGGAGGAAGAGCGCGCGGATCTGGAGATGGAGTTTAAGAAGCAGCAAGCGGAGGCGAGCGAACGCTTCGCCGCGTTGCAAGCGGAGAAGGACGCGCAGAAAGTGCTGGAGGATAAGCTCGCGTCGATGCAGGCGAAAGTCATGCGCGGCGGGACCAACTTGCTGGACCAAGAAGAGCGACTGCGGGAGGAACAGAGGCGGCAGGCGGACCAGCTCGCGAAGATCGCAGCGCAAGAGGCGGAGGCGTCGCGGCGTATGAAGGAGCTTCAAGAGATTCAGACCATCACCGGGGACGAGTACAGAACGTTAGACGAGGAGATCGAGACCAAGGCGAGCAAGACGCGCAAGCTGTACGACGCGTACCAGCGCGTCGTCGCGGACACGAAGGACCTGGACTTGGAGTTCGAGCGCGAGCGCGAGGACTTGCTGGATTCGATACGCGCGCTGACGCGTGAGATCAAGTTGAAAAATTTAGTCCTGGACGCGTTCGTGCCGCCGGATCAGATCGCGGTCTTATCGCGCGCGGCGACGTGGGACGCGCGCGAGGAGGCGTGGCACGTGCACGGCGCGGCGTACTCGGGGAACGCCGCGCGCGCGCGGCGAGAAGCCGCCGCGAATCCGAATCCGAATCCGTCCGACAAGAAGAAGAAGAAGATGAGGAAGAAGAGGGGGGGGTATAAAAACGCGACCGCTGAGGTCTCGGCGGAGGACGTCGAGAACGTCGCCGTCTTCAACGCCCTCGCCGACGCGTACGGCGGCGACACGCAGAGAGCGCTCGTCGCCGCCACGGCGTCGGACTCGGAGAAACTGAAGCTGGCGTACTTGAAGTACAAGGAGACCGTGCCCGGCGCGGAGGACGGCGGCGGATCCGGATCCGGATCCGGATCATCGGCGCGGCCGGGCACGGCAAAGTCTCGAGGTCGGCCGGGCAGCGCGCGCCCGATGTCGAGCTCGGGGCGGAGAAAGGAGGAGAAGCGAGCCGCCGTGGGGATCGGACGGCTGAGCGACGAGATGGCGACCGCGAGCTTATCGCGCGACGAGATCTTCCCCGAGCCCAGAGGCTTCGTCTCGCGGCGGTAAGCCGCGATGAGTAAGTAGACTACCACAGTACGCCGCGAGGACTCTTCGGAGGCGAACAGTCTAGCTAGCTCGTCTACGTGAACTGAAGAGATCTGTTCTAGCTAGTACACGCACGCGCGGTAGTTGTCGCGAGACGAGACGAGACGAGGGCTAGACGTCGAACGCGACGATTTCCAGCGGCCCGTTCTCCGGGACGCCGTTCTCGTCGAGACGCGGCGTCTTGATCTTGAACGAGAACGGCGCGTTGCGTTCGCCGCCGCGCGCGAGCGCGTTTAACGCCGCCGTCGCGATCTCGAGCGCGTCCGCGCCCGCGGCGCGGGAACGCGGAAAGCCTTCTTCGTCGCCGTCGCCGTCCTCTTCCTCCTCGTCTTCCTCCTCGTCTTCGACGTCGACGCCCAAGTCGTCTTCCGCGTCGCCGCGATTGCTTCTTAAACGCGTCCCGCGACGTCGCGACGACCACGCCGCGTCCCCCGGGGCGATCCCGAACAGCAGCTTCCGCATGAGCTCGCCGCCCAAGACGCACGGCGTCGCCGTCCCTCGACCGTTTCCCGCGTCATCGTCCACGTCAGCTTCCATGTCAGCTTCCACGTCAGCGTCGACCAAGCCGAGCGTCACCCCGCGCCACACGTATCCGGTCGTGTTCACGCTGCCGTGGTGACACGCGCACTGCGGGTATATCCCGTCGCGCGCGTCCGGCATCAGCGGCGCGTGGCACGACGTGCAGCCGTACGCGAGGAGCGCGGCGGCGACGTCCGAGGGCGCGAACGCGGGCGCGGGCGCGGGCGCGGGCGCGGGCGCGGACGCGCCGCCGCCGCCGCCGCCGCCGCGCGATTCGTCGTCGTCGTCGCGTCCTCGCTTCTTCGCGCCGCCCGTCGCGGTCCGCCGCGGTCTCGGGAGCTGCACCCAACGCACGCGCGCGACCACGCGCGCGATCGAGGCGCGCGAAGACATCCCGCCCGCGGACCCGCGCCGGAGCTCCCTGAGCGTCGTCGTCGCGCCGCGACCGCCGCGCGAAGACCGTCGATCTCCCTCCGCGCGGACGTAACACCCGCCGCCGCCGCCGCATCGCTCGAGAACGTCCACCGCGCGGTCGTCCTCGCGCGGACGTAACACCCGCCACGCGCTGACGTTTTCAACGCACACGAGGCCGTACCGGTCGCTTCCGCCGCGGTACCGCACGACCGCGTCGAGAATCTCGACGACGCGGCCCTCGAACTCCTCCGCCGCCGCCTCCGCCGCGATCGCCGCCGAGGGATACGTCCGCGGCGGCAGCGTCACCTCCGTCAGCGTCCCACCCTCGCGCTGCGCGAGCCACAGCACCGGTCGCAGCGTCGCGGCGCCGTTCGCCGCCCGCGCCGCGTCGATTGAATGGATTCCGTATTCATCCGCGCGCGCCGCCGTCGACGCGCTCGCGCTCGCCGTCGTCGTCGCCGCGACGACGCGTCCTAAAAAATGCGCCGAGCGTCTCGCGTGCAGAGTCTCCGCCGCGCAAAACGCCGCCTCCGCGGCCGTTACGCCGCCCCCACACTCGCGCGCGTCCCGCGCGGCGAGCAGCAGGCTCGACCGCGTCGCGGACGCCCAGACGCACAGCGCGTTGATCGCGCGCTCGCGCTCGGGGACGTCGTTTTCGAGCGCTCTATCGCGCGAGAAGGACGCGAGCGTCGCGGCGCGCGCGAGGACGCCGCTCGCGTCGAGGAGCACGGTCACCTCCGCGGCGTGCCCGGTCGCGAGCTCGGGCGCGTCGTCGAAGGCGTTCCATCGCGCGCGCGGCGCGTCGATCGCGACGACGTCGCCCACGCCTGGGCGGGCGCGCGCGCGTTCGTTGGGGAGAGAGAAGACGGTGATGAGTGAGACGCGGGGGACGCCGCGCGCGGCGGGAGCGCGAGGGGTGGGGTGCACACAATGAATGAATTAATGAACGACAACGACGGATGGCATCGTCCGACGTCGCGACGCACCCACGTCGACGCTCGCGTGCGTGCGCCACAGCGTGACTCTCGCGCGGTGCATCGTGTCGTCCGCGATGATCAGTCTCGTGCACGGCACGGTCTCGCCCGTGCGCTTGCAGTACACCGCGACCGTCCGCTCGCGGCGCGTCACGAGCGCGTAGATTCGAGCGCGCACGGGACGCGAGACGCACGAGACGGCGGAGGACGCGCGTTCTCCGCGATGACGATGTCCCGGCGGTCGCGACGACGAGCGCGACGTCGCGTCCGCCCGAAGCGACGCCGCGACGTCGATCGCGCGTCGCGTCGACCACGTCGGCAGCGGGTATCGCATGACGCCGGTGGGGGAGGGGGGGGGGGGGCGAGCGCGCGTGATGAGTATGGGTGCCCACACCTGCTGATGAGAATCTCGGCGAGGTCGCGGTCGGTTTTGGGCTGGGGTGTTTATGTTTTGCCTGGGGTGTTTTGCCCTGCTGGACGTCGCGAGCGCGCCGTGTCCTCCACGTATATGATATATATAACGTAACGCTCTACTACGATCCGTTACACCTCACACCTCACCCCTCACAACTCGCTCCTTCTGGTCCCCCCCCCCCCGCCGCCGCCGCCGCCGTACATCGCCTCGACCATCGGCAACATGCTCTCCGGCACGACGAGCTTTCGAAGCGTCCTCGCCTTGTCCCGCAACGCGTCGTCGCCGCGGTCCTCCTGCAGCGCGTTCAGGAACGGCATCAGCCCGCCGCCGTTCTCTTGATCGGCGTACCCGTACTTCTTCATCGCGGGCCCCATCAGCTCGTTCGCGAGCGGCATGAACGAGAACATCGCCATCATCGCGTTGTCCGGGTCCGCGTCGACTTGTTTTTTTATCGCCGCGATTCGCGCGGCGTTGGCGGGGACGCGCACGACGGCGGTGACCTCGTCGATGGCGGCGTGCGCTTGCGCGAGCGTCATCGACGGCGGCCGCGGCGACGACGCGGAGGAGGAGGAGGAGGACGATGAGGAGGAGGCGGCGCCCATCTTCGCGGACGTCGCGCGCCGCGTCGAGGACGAGGAGGACGATCGCGATGCCCTCCGCGACGTGTTCGCCTCTTCCGGATCCTTCTTCGAAGACTGATAGGAGTCCGGCGTCGGCGACGGCTTCATCGCCGGCTTCGCGTGACGCGGCGGCTCCCTCCGCGCCGCCGCCGCCTCGCGCGCGTCCCGCTCGCGGTTCGCCCCCGCGCGCGCTTCCGCGATCTTGCGCGCTTCCGCGTGCAGCGCCCCGGTGTCGAGCGTCGTCGCGGCGGGATCGCCGCCCGCGCGCTTCCTCATGGATCGCGCCAGCTCCATCCGCTCGTCGACGGAGAGGTGCGCGCCCGCGACGGGGGTCGCGAACGACGCGAGCGCGAGCGCGACGACGAGGAGCGCGACGGCGAGGAGGCGCGACGGCGCGCGACGACGACGGTCGGCGCGATCCATGACGGAGGGCGGACGTGCGAGGCGTGCGAGGAGCGATCGCGGGAATGGACGGGCCGCGGACGTAACAGGCGCGGATTCGATTCTTTCGTCCAGTCCGACGAGAGGCCGCGGCCGCGCGCGAGCGTCGCATTGTTGACCCGGCGCGAGGGTGTCTGCTCAGCCGGGCGGGCGATCCATCCGCCCCCTCGCGAGGCGCGCAGCCTTCTCCGTCGCCGCCGCTTCACGCGCCGCGCCGCGTCGCGTCGCGTCGGACCCCGCCGCGGTCCATCGCGCGCGGCGCCGCGACGGTCCGACGACCGCGACCGCGAGGTGACGCGCGCGATCGGCACCCTCCTCGGGCGGTCCAAATTCGATCGATCCTCCCCGGGGGCGCCCACCCCGCCCCCCCCCGGGCGCGCTGAACCCGCCGCGCGCGTCGATCGAACCGAACCGAGCCGACCGGTAACCCGATCCGAAGTCATCATCATGCAAAGCTACGACCTCAAGGAGCAGATCGGCCGCGGCAGCTTCGGGACGTGCCACCTCGCGTGGCACCGCGCGGAGCGACGAATGTACGTCGCGAAGCGGATCCCGGTGCATCAGGTGCGTTCTATACACTGGTTCCCATACGACCGCGTTGGCGTGGTGAACGCCGATCCTTAAGGACGTTTCCCGGCGCATCTCTCCGCCCACCCCTCGGTTTCAATACCCGCCCTCGACGCCTTTGAACTCCACCTGACGCCTTTCAACTCCACCCCGACATTCGCTTGTATGGAACGACCATCAGATGGCGGAGCGCGAGGAAGCGCTGCGAGAGGCGCAGCTCCTGAGCGCGCTGCGCCATCCGAACATCATCGCGTACAAGGAGTCCTTCATCGAGGACGCGGACAAGACGCTGGTGATCGTGACCGCGTACGCGGAGGAGGGCGACCTGTTCACGCACATCAAGCGCGCGCGAGAGAGCGGCCGGCGCTTCAGGCGCGTTCGTAGACTATTCACACTGGTCCCCATACGACCGCGCCGTCGGCGCGGTGCACGCCGATCCTTAAGGACTTTACTTCCCGGCGCACGCACGCATCTCTCCGCCCAGGGTCCCTCGCGTCGTTCAATCCCGACACACACACCTCGACGCCTTTCAACACCGCTTCTGACGCCTATGAACTCCACCCCGATATCATCGCAAACGTGTCATGGACCCCCGACCCTCTCTATCAGCGAGCGACAGCTGTTGGATTGGGTGACGCAGATCGCGCTCGCGTTGGACCACATCCACGCGCTGCGCGTCATGCACCGCGACTTGAAGACGCAGAACATATTCCTAGGGAGGGGCGGCGTGGTGAAGCTGGGCGACTTTGGCATCTCGAAGGTGTTGGAGCGCACAGACGACTTCGCGACGACGGTGACGGGGACGCCGTATTACCTCGCCCCGGAGGTGTGCACGAACCAGCCGTACACGCTCAAATCCGACGTGTGGTCGCTCGGCTGCGTCGCGTACGAGATCGCGACGTTGCGCCACGCGTTCGCCGCGGACTCGCTGCTGTCGCTGGTGTTCCAGATCGTCAACGGGACGTGCCCGCCGATACCGACGGAGCGCGGGTACGTTCTGGTTCACACTGGTCCTCATACGACCCCGTTCGCGTGGTGAACGCCGATCCTTAAGGACTTTTCCCGTCGTCACTCTTCACCCGCGCTTCCCTCACAACGTACGTTTGACCGGTAAGACGCTCGACTGACCGATCGCTTCACCCAGGTACGACCATCGCTTCGCCGGGCTCGTGAGCGTGATGCTCGAACGTGACGCGCGCGCGAGGCCGACGGCGTCGGAGCTGTTGCGCCATCCGCTGATGCAAGAGCACCTTCGGAGGATGCAGACGGAGGGGCTCGGACGGACGATGTGGCTGAGGCGGGGAAGGGACGGCACTCAGGACGAGACGATGAGCGGCGCGGGGCGGACCGCGGTTGGCGGCGCCGCGGCCGCGAAGGTGTCCGAGTACGGCCGAGACGCGGCTGCGGCGAGGGAAAAGTCCTTAAGGAACGGCGCGCGCCACGCGAACGGGGTCGTATGGGAAGCAGTCTCACCGCCGAAAGCGCCGCCGGAGTTGACGCCGCGCGAACGCATGACGCGAAGGCGCGAGATGGCGATCGCGGAGCGGGCGAGGGTTTTGAGCGAGGCTGCCGCGGGGAACGACACCGGCGAGGCTGCGCGGCGAAGGTTTCGATCGGAGTTTCACGCCGGCGCCGCGAGCGACGCGACCGTCGAGAAACAGAAACCGACCGTATCCACATCCGGATCCTTCCTCAGCGCGCGCGGGGAAGCGGAGGTGGACGCGCTGCGCAAATCCCGCGACGCGTTCGACGGCGTCGTCGGCAAGGGGTACTACGAGCGCATCGTGCGCCCGGACGCCGACGCCGACGCCGACGCGTCGCCGGCGTCGCCCGAGTCGCCCGGGACGGCGTTTCGGAACTTCGCGGCGGCGGTGCCGGCGGAGGCGCCGCCGACCGACCGCGACCGAGACCCCGTGCACGCGCTGTTCGGGGTCAAACACACGCCGCCGCGGGGGGCGCGCGGGGGGGGCAACGGTAAGAAGGACCCGTTCGCGATGACGTTCGGTCAAGAGCCCGCGTTCTCGCCGTACAAGTCGAACGCGAAGAACGATCGCGGCGGCGGCGGCGGCGACGACGACGACGACGACGACGACGGCGGCATTCTTTTGCCGCCGCCGCGTCGGAGGACGAACGGCGCCGGCGCCAGCGTCGGCGCCGGCGCGCTGCGCAGCACGCACGACGAGGACGACGTCGCGATGATAGGCACGATGCGGAGCAGCGTCGGCGCCGTTCGAACGTCGACGTCGTCGCGCGAGCCGTCCGCGCGCGATCCCCCCGGGCGCGGTCTCTCCCCGACGCGCGAAGTCGCGGAGGCGGAAGTGCTCGCGGCGCTCACGCTGGAAGCGGAGCTCGATCGCGGCGCGGAGGAAGAGGCCGCGCGCGTCGCCGCCGCGGCGTCCGCGCACGCGAACCCGGTCCCGGTCCCGGTCCCTCGCGCGCGGACGCCGCCGGAGATGCTCCCCCCGCCGAGCACGCGCGCGGTGGCGCCGTCGCGTTCGTTCGAGTCCGACGCGACGACGACGACGACGTATCCAGACTCGTACAGCGACGACGAGTTCGAGGCGTACGATCCCGCGGAGGACGAGCTCGAGAGGAGCGCGCGGCGGGAGGTGGTGATGATCGCCGCGAAGTCGCTGTCGCCGGAGACGACCTCCTCGAAGAGAGAGGGGAGAGAGGGGACGTCCGTCGCGTCTTCGTCGTCCCCCGCCGCGACGACGACGTCCGGCAGGCGGTGGGTCGAGAACGAGGCGTTTCAGCGGTCGAGCTCGGGCGGATCCCCGACGTTCTCGCTGTCCACGGACGACGACGCGTGGAGCGAGTACGGGAACAACACGCCGACGACGCCGACGACGACGACGCGCGGCGGGTCCAAAAACACATCGACGTCGAGTGTTACGACGTCCGCGGACAATAGGAGGGCGTACGCGGATGCCAACGCGAGCGCGTCGTCGACCGGCTCGGGCGACGGCGACGGCGACGTCGCGGCGCGGATGATGGCCGCGCGCGCGAAGAAAGTCGCGCGCCTGCGCGCGAAGTGCGAGAAGGAGCTCGGGAAGAAGCGCTTCGCCGCGGTGCGGAGTTTTCTGAAGCAGACGCGGCGGAAGCAAGCCGCGGCGGCGGCGGCGGCGCGGAGGGCGGGGCCGCTTCCCTCCGGCGGCGGCGCCGGAGCCGGGACGCCGCGGGGGGGGAACGCGACCGGGCCGCTCAGCGAGGCGTTCATCATGGCGAAGCTCCTGTCGCTCGTCGGCGGGGACAAGTCGAAGCTCGCGGCGTGTTTCTCCGTGGACATGCTGTGCTTCGAGGAGCGACTTTTTTTGGAGCGCGGCGGGAGAGAGAGCGATTTGAAATTTTTGGGCGCCGGCGACCAGCGAGGCACCGCCATGTGCGTCACGAGTTAGTCGACGCGACGACTTTACGTTTTGACGACGACGTCGTGTTGTGTTTATTTAGGTGGCAATCGTCGTATCATTAAACGCGTGATGGTACGCATAAATTCTCATCGCCACGCGTCTGGCGTAATAACGTAAACAGAACATCGTTCTTCCATTTCTTCACGTGCTTCGTCGTCTCAGGGTAACAACTTACTGTATAAACAAGGTTCGGTTCGGTCGCTCGCGCGCGCGTTCCTTCCTTTCCTTCGCGCGGTCATCTCATCTTTCGACCCCCCGCCCGAGAGGCGAGCGGTCCGCGGTCGGTCGTGTCGTGTCGTGTCGCTCACACCGCCACCGTGGACGAACCCATGACGCGGGACTTGGCCTCGAACGTCGCCACCGCGTTTTTCATGTGCGCGACGAATTCATCCGCGTTCTCCACGCCCGGGATGTACGTGAAGCAGCACCAGCAGCACGGGCAGTTGAGGCAGCACTCCGGCGCGTACGACTTGGTCGTCGCGGCGACGCCGCCGGAGCACTCGCAGCAGCAGAACCAGTGGTACGGCGAGCAGCACGTCACTCGCTTCCAGTTGTCGTTGAGCTGGTCGAAGTACACCGTCTGAATGTTGTCGTAGACGCAGCAGTCGCACCCGCCGCAGAGGCAGCACGGCGTGCACGGGTAGTTGGTCTCGAGCTTGTTCTCCGCGACCATGACGTACGAGCGCGGCTTGACGTTGGACTGCGGAGGGCGGTTAGGGTGGGAGGGAGGTCGGCGCGGGTGCGAGAAAAAAGAAAGGTTTTCGAGTCGACGACGCGCGTCGCGTCGGACACAGCTGTGATGCGATGACAACTGGGCCGCGGCGCGGCTCGTTTGAGGATTTCGAGGCGGCAGGCGCGATCGCCGCGGCGCGAGGGGCAGCGCGCGCGATCGCGCCGCGATCGCGCCGCCCCCTCCGCGCGAGACGCACGCTCGCGATCGAAGCGCGCGGGGGGGGGGGGTCGCGCACCCAGCAGCACATGTTCCCGCAGCAGCCCAGCCCCGGGATGCACTTCGCGTTCTCGTGCAGCGGCGCGATGTAGCTGATTTGGAGCTGTCCCGGTATCGCGGTCTGCATGGTCTGCGTGAGGAACTGCTGGTGCACCCCGGAGGAGACCATGCGCATCTGCTGCGGCGCGGGCATCGTGAGCGGAGGTGGGGGGTGCTGCGGCGTGGAAGTCGGATGACGCGCGCGCGTGGAGTGACGGCGACTGCGCCGCGGAGCTCTCTTCTTCGCTCGGACGAATACAACTTGTACTGTACTACGCTCTTTAAGCCCTGAATTAGCGTGAATTGACGGAGCTTAAAGGGTTGACCGCTTCGCGGTCATTTCACCCTTAACTCTGTCGAATCAACGCTAATTCAGGGCTTAAAGAGCGTAGGCCTTCCCTATCAAAACCTAATTTGATAGGTGATTTTTGTATCAATTTTAGGGTTTTAAGTAAGTCGCCTCAATCAACTTAAAGACAACCCTCGTAGTATAAATATAATATGCCGAATACAACTGAAACCGACTACTTTATTGGGACGACGCAAGGCAAGACGAAGGACGGGAAACTGACCCACAGAATTATAGTTTCCCAAGTAATTAGACTTGTGGATGAAGAAGGATTTGAAGAGGATTGGAAACAGGAGGATATTGAAATAGACTGCGAGAGGCTCTGGAAGCTGGTGGAAGTGGTGGATGATTTGGTGGTAAAAAAAGGGGACTAATAGAGTGTAGATATAGCTTTGTAATAAGACCAAAACCTTACGAAAATCACGAGACTTCGGGGGCGTATCTGGAGCGTAGCGACCCAGACCTCTACAAATCTCCGTGAGCCTCGCTGACGCAGAAATCACGAGATTTTGTAGCACCTCTTTAAGCCCTCAAAAATACCCTAAATCAAGTCTATTTTTGAGACCAATTTCACGAAAATTCAAGGCTATTTTAGAGACCAATTTCACGGGGGTCAAGGGCTTCTGTGGGGCTTCTGTGGGGCTTCTGTGAGCCTTCTGTGAGACCCCATTTCATACCATCCACGAAACAAGCACGGAGGACGGGACGCCAAAATATGTAGGGTTTTTTTGGTCTCTAAAGGGGGTCTGTTTTTGAGACAGTTGTGGGATTTAGTTGCGCCAAAATCGGGTCTAAAATCGGGTGGAAAATCGGGTCACCCCACCCTATTTTGCCATACGATTTTAGACCCGATTTTGCAACTAAACCCCGTTTCGAAATTCGGGTCTAAAATCGGGTGGGGTCTCCTTCGGTCGTTTGAAAGGGGTATCCGCGGGCGTTCGCGCGCTGCTGGAGTCGCGGGAGCGTCACGAACGCCGACGTCGTCCGCAAAAAATTTACTCGAAACACCACGATGCGTCGACCCATGCAAAAATATTGCACCGCTCGCTGTGATGATCACGACGTAATCAGCGCTCGAACAGGGCCGGACGCAACTTTCAACAAAAAAAGTTCTCCTCTCTCATCATTGACGATTAAACGCGACGATTTAAACCGTCATTTCAGGTTTCGTACCCACCCGATTTTAGACCCGATTTTGACCCACCCGGTTTTAAAATCGGGTGGGTTCACCCGAATTCGGGTGGGTCGTTGCAAAATCGGGTCTAAAATCGGGTGGGGTGACCCGATTTTCCACCCGATTTTAGACCCGATTTTGCTACTAAAACCCTCTAGTATTCGTTTTCATCCCGACAGAACAGACATAACACCCCGCGTCGTGGTTGCGAATCTTCGAAAAGATATTCGGTGTGTTTCCACGGGGTAACAAATTCCACTGTAGTGTTACATTGTCCGGCGCACTCGACCAGACTTCAGGGTTGCACTTCACGGAGACTGAAATAACACAAACATTCGACGGGCGCACCACGCGCAGAATTCTTAGCGGCTCGATCGACCCGTCCACGCGCCGCGACGAATCGCGCGAGAAGTCACTTTCGGACGGTCGCAGGTGCAAAAGAACATGCGAAAGAAGCAACGAAGAGCGGTTATCGCTCGCGCGAGCCCGCCCGTCGCGGTCTCTGCGCTCGCCACGCTTGCGTTATGCCTACTCGCGAGCGTGCAGAGCGTCGTGGCGGTGAATTGTGGCGATCCCTTGGCGGACTGTTACGTCGGACAGGCAAAAGCGGGTGCGAGATCTTGCCCGCCGCGCGTCGAGGGGCGATTTCTCGCGCGCGTCCGAAGAACCCTTTCCTTCCCTTCGTCTCGCGATTCCCCTGACCGACCGAGTCTGATCCCCTCTGGTTTCCTTTCCGCACAGGCGTCTTCGGCGAGATTGACGACTCGCGGCAAAAGTTTGGCCAGAGAACGCCGTACAAGCCCACGGTCGTGCGAGGGCAGAAGCGACTCGATCGCATGGAGTCCATGGACGTGATTCGCCTCGACTGGAAGTCGCCCCCGCTCGACGCGCAGCAGTTGCGATGGTTTTTCGGGAACTCGACGCGAGAGTACAACGAAGGCGGGTACTACGCCGTCTCGTCCGCGTTCAACTTCTACGAGAAAAACGGCACGACGCACTTCGTGTATCGCCTCGGCGCGGCTTCGGGGGGCTACAAACCGAAAGATCGCGTGTACGACACGCGCGAATACGACGGCACGTATCACGCGCGAACGACCGAAGCCGGCGAGGAGTGGGTCCGTTGCTCGAAACGTCTCCCGCATCGTCCGTGGCGCGGGTACAACGGTCGCACGATCATGCTGGACCCCGACGATCTAGAGCGGAGCTGGATCGACTGCGGAGCGAACCGGCACGGAGACGATCCTTTCGGATTCGAAGGACGCGTCGCGGAACGGGAGGACGCGGCGACCGCGCCCCCCGGGACCGTCGTGCAGACGAGCGACGACGTCTGGCGCGTCGCCGGCGCCGACGCGTACGAACGCTCGCCCGCGGAAGCGAAAGCCGAGGAGAAGGTGGGCGTTTCAGGTCTGCCCTTGTCCCCCGCGACCCGGGACGCGATCACGGGGCGATACTCGCCCGCGCAGAGGTGCTTCCGAGGCGAATCCGTCACCGTCGGCGGATCTCCGCACGCGTGCGACCAAGCCGGGTACGAAAGATCGTTACCCGACGGCACCGTGCGTCGATACGTGACGCCGACGTGGGACAACAGCAACAACTGGACGCACAACATGTACGAGATGTCGATGATCAGAGAAGGCGGCCCGGATGCCGGGGGAAAGCTCCAGTTCGATACCTCCCCGGCGTATCCGAACACGTTGTTCATCGGCGGGCACACCGAGTGCAAAGGTTTCGTGTATTACGGTAGTACGAGGAGCCCGGACAACTTTGATCACTGCGCCAACGGCGTTCGGTACCTCACGGCGTGGGAATACCTGTGGAAGAATCCGGAGGAGGTCGGATCTTCCCTGAACCCCCCTGCACTGGACGCAAGCGCGGCACCCACAAACGAGTCCAAGAAGTACATCCTCGGCCGCTGGCGGGAGCCTCAACTCCCCTGGAGCCTCCCACGGAACTTCCAACCGAAAGATTTCATCGGCGCCGGGGTCACGAAAGCGAACTGCACGCATAGCGCGATGTACGCCGGAATCCCGAATCGCTACTCCACCGAGGGAAGAGACGAGCTCAAACGGCGAAAGAAATTATGCGACGCACACAAATTCGGCGCCGGCGTCGTCTGGGACCCGCCGACGATCACCTCCGAGGCGTGTGTCGGTGATGCCACGCTGTTGGGAAACGATATCACGGACTCGAAGCCCTTTGAACCGTACGTCGTCTCGTCGTACGTGTACCCACGAACTCACGTTCCCGTGTATCAGGACTCGGACGTCGGGCTCCCTAAGTTGGTTCCCGCATACGTCGAGACAACGACGAAGCGGAGGTTGGACTGGGATGTCGGAAGGTACGTGACGTGGCACGAAAATATTACTTACAACGGCGGGACGACGACAATCGATTGGAATGCCTACTACGCGCCCGCGGCCGAGGACGTCGTCGTTGGCAACTTGTGGCACATCGGTGAGGAGTTTCGGTTTCCGGACGCGGATGGGGAGGGCGGTGATACGCAGCCTTTGAACGCGGAGGACGTCCCCGCGGGTGGCTTTCCCGTGAAGGGCTCGTCGCTTTACATGAATCGCGAAGGGAAGCTCGTGCTCGTCGCGGTCGATCGTGGGAAGACCCCGACCGTGAAGACGTGCACGAGCTCGATGAAAATCGAAGTCGACGCGTGGACGCTCGTGACCGTTTCCGTGGACGAGACGAAGGCGACGTTGCGCGTCGGCGAGCGAGAGGCGTGTTCCGTGACTCTTCCACACGGACCATACGCGCTATCCGACGGGTGTGTTCCGACGCCGGTATACTCGCAGTGCCGTACAGACGACTGCGCCGGAGTCGGGGATCACTCGAGAAAACACGCCGCGCCGCACGCGCCGGCGTCCGTGCGCGCGGAAATGTTCGACTTTACGATCGCGATCGGCGATCGGTACGTCAAGAACGTCGCGGGGGCGTCGGCGGCGCGCGTTGCGTTTACGCCGCCGCACCCGGACGCGTGGAAAAAACGATGTCGTCCTGACTGCCCAGACCCGAACGTGTTCTTTAACCACGTCCCTATTCCTCAGGGAAGATGGACGCGCGTCGAAGAACCGCGGTCGCTGAAGCTGTACGGGTGCCGCGGAGGTACGTGTGAGGACCCGAATCACTGCTGCAGGGCGGAAGGTAAAAACTGTTACGAGACCAGATACGAGTGGAGCGAACACTGCGGGCACTCCAGTGCAAAAGGGTGCGGATACCGTGGAAGCTGCCGAACCGAGCTCACGAAGGCCATGGGCGACGACGAGGCGAACACCGGCGAGGGAGGTACATGGCGTTCGAGCTTTAAGGTGAACGCGAGGGGAGACGTGTCGTTCATGATGGATAAGGTGTATTTCCTCAACGGCAAGGGTGAAGTCGAAGAATTGGAGAGTTCGTTTTGGACGTTACGCGGCGCGAAATCGACGTGCGATATGACCGGCTTGTGCGGTGACGACTTCGCGAACGCGTCGCTGCACGGCATCTTTGAAAAGAGAGACGACGGCGTCGCGCATTGGCGGAAGCAGACGAAACGTGCCAAGGAAAATTCGAAAGAGTCCGACATGTATCATTCCGCCTTAGGTCAGCTCGTCAAGACGGGCGACCACGAGGATATTCTCGTGATAAAAGACATTAAAATATTCACGTGGCACCCGGAGAAGAAGACTATGGAAGGTGGCTGGTCCACGCAGGGCATGAACATCAGGGATGAGTTGCATGACGGAAAGAAGATGGAAGTCATCCTGAGCGGTCGTTCCATCACGCATTACAACCCGAACTTCGGCACCGACACGGATGTGTACGGCTGGGCGCAGCGTCGAATGCTAGATTCAGAGAACTATGTCCAACGCGACTATATGCCCTTGGGCGAAAGCGCGCACCCGTCTCCATACATTTGTGCAACTTGGAGGTCGCTCTTTTCCCCGGATGGAGGGTACACATACTACGGCGTCCTCGTCTCTGGTTACGATCCAAAATCAGAGCCGATCTCGCGGTGCCACTTCGGCAGGAAAGAAGGCGTGCAGGGTAAGAACGCTCTCGGCAGGCAGTTCGTGCTCGGCATACGAAGGCTCGTGACGGACGAGTGTAAGCCGCTCATCTCGAGGAATACCGACGTCGGGTTCGCGTCGTACGTCGGGACGACCCGCGGCTCCAACACCAAATTCAGAGGTGGGATATCGAACGCGAACGGCGACTTTTTGTTCAGCGGCACGCTTGGTGCACCAGAATTGCTCGGCACGAACGCGTCGCACGCGCGAATCGATCTCACGTCTGAAGCGACCGGTTGCGCGGCGAACGCCGACGCGACGATGCCGTTCAAGTTTAACGAGACCGCGGGCGGAAAGTGCATGTCGCAGGTGGTGACGTTTCAGGGGAAAGGCTGTTTCGCGGCCTCGTCGCAGGACGATTCGTGCGGCGCGCTCGCGAAGAGCACATTCCTCGGCTCCGGTGGCGCTGGGGACATGGCGCGCGCGATCGTCGAAGGGTCTGTCGTCGTCGTCGGTCCTCCTGGCGTCGGGGTGATGAAACTCAACGAACACGCCAACGTCACAATTTGGAACGCATGTGCGCAGTGTGAAAAAAGCGAGAGGACATGCGATATCCTGTGCTCGACGACGCGGGAGCCAGGCGCTCAAAATACCTCTTTCGACAACATTCGCGTCGACGTCGGTCCACAAGGATCCGTCGTAGCGGTTCTGCGAGGAAACGTCGTGATCGTCCTCGACGCTGCCACGGGCACCGAGATGTATCGAAACGATATCGCCGCGGGCCGTGATGTCGATCGTGGCATTGTCGTCTCCGACGTCGCCGTGAGCGACGCCAAACACATCCGTAAAGTGTTCGTCGGCGGGTACAAGAAGAGCATTCCCGTCGACGTCGGCGGGTGTCCAACGTGTCTTCCGGGTGTCCAATACGTTGACGTCGCGTTCGTTCGCGCGTACGATGCGGATACCGGCGCGTTGAGTTTCAAAACCTGGGATTACGAAGGCTCGGACATGGGCAAATTCGACGCCGCGCACACGCGAATCAAACGCATGATCGTGGACAAATCCGGTCGTTTATTCGTCGGCGCAGACGTGAGCGGATACAAAAAAACAGCTCCAAAATGGGATTATCCCACGAATGACAACTTCTTCCGTTATGACGGCGGGCCGAATGGCACAGTAAAAGCCGCGCTTGCGTATCAAAGTAGACCGAGGGCGACGGTCAAGCAACCCGATTCCCACGCTAGCGTCGATGGATCGGCGGAGTTCGGACCCGATTCCGCCGCTTACGTCGCTTTGATCGACCCGTTCACGGGGCTCGTGGCGCGAGGCCAACACCTATTCTCTCGGTCAAGTAAAAAATGCTATCCGCGCGGGAGAAAAAATATTTGTCAAAGTGCCATAGGCCACGTCACGCTCGAAGCGATCGACGTCGACGCGAAAGGCAACATAATCATCGCTGGTCAGATTTCCGGTATCATAAAAAATCGCGACTACAACACCGTGAACAATGTGCGCATCGCGCGTCAGCCAGGGATACCGCCGGAGGCGGAACCCTATTTCGCGATTTTCGATGCGAACCTGATCCAGCGACTAAAGTGGTCGACGCTCTCGCAGAAAACGAGCTGGAAGCCTGGCGGGCAGGGTTCAGCCGCGGTCATCGTCGGTGGGTCGTACTGCCCGGATAACACGCGAAACTTCGGGTCGTGCACGAGCGCCGTGCTTCTCACCGGCGTGGTGACGCGAAACATGGGCCAGTTCTACACCATGGCGAACGCGTTGCAGGTTATGGGGGAAGGGACGAAAAAAGGTTCGGCGAGGGGATGTTTGCGCAACGGGTACCGATACAAGAGCGGTGCGGAGTATCGAGCGGATCTTGAGAGAACAGATTGTCACAAGACGGATGCGTACGCGGCATTGATCCAAGGACCGCCGCAAATTGGAGACTTTTCCGTGTGCAATCCCCTGGATTTCCGCGAACCGCCCGTGGATCTTCTGTGGGCGAGATTCGTGAACGCGAAAAAGTCCATCGATCTGAAATTCGACGCGAACTCGGACAGGGGCGAGACGGGGGAGCTCACGCTCGGCGGGATCTTTCCGTGTTCCGAGCTCATCAACGTCAACGCGTCCGCTAATCTCGGCGAGGGGTGCCTCGCGTATTTTCTCGATAAGCGCACCGTGCGGATCTCCCTAGGAGACGGGCACGAGGCGACTGAAGCGAGCGATGGCATCGCAGACGGATCCGTTATCACGATACGCGGGGGCGTGATATATTCTGACAAATTCCGCGATCGCGGACGAAGCACGACGGCGTCTATTCAGGTGACACGTCACCCAGGGGAAAAGGTTGCCGTGCACGCCCGTGTCAAGTGCTTTAACGAATTCATAAACATCGACTGGGGATGTTTCGTGCCGACGATCGACTGCACTGCATCGGAAAGCACCGGGGATCTCGGCGGGAACCTGACGTTTAAGTGGTCGCTCGAGCGTACGCCGATCACGGGCCGGGGTGCAGACGCGAAAGAGGACGCACTGAGATCATATCTCGGAAATCTCACATCGACGTCACGGTCGATCAGCATTCCGAGTTCGATATACGTCCCTCTACTCGGCTCTCGACGCGACACTTTACACATGTTTACCTTCTCCGTCATCGTCAGCAATAAAAAGGGACACGTGTACACCGGCGAGATGACCGACGTCAACGCGCAAAGGAAGGAAGCAAGCGCCGCGCTCACCAACACGGAGAGCGGATTCGTGATCGAGTGGGCCAAAATGAATCAAATTCCGCCAGGAAGGGTGTACAGCATGCACCGAGGCTTGGCAGGAGTGAAGGCCGCGTGGAGAGATTGCGGTCTAGAATCGCGTAACGCGGAGACAGAGCGCACGTTCTCATGGAAGGTAACCCCGATGCTCGACGATCGGTCCGAGATAGAAACAGAACGCGTCGCGGGCTGGCCCACGCCCACGGGCATACACCCAGAGGTGACTTATCAAGAGACCAAGCTCGTCGAGTTATTCGCGATGCAAAAGACTTCCTTTTTTTCGTGGCACAGAAATATGATGTTCGCGGGACGCAAATACGTCATAGAGTGCGGGGTCACCGCATTCTGGAACGGGGCGCACTCGAATAATACGGGTGGCAACAGTGAATGCCCAGCCGGATGGACCCGTGTGAACCAAAGGGACCGCACAACTCGTTCAGGATGCGAAATCACGAAGACGTTGCGTTGGACAACTCGCACGAAATACGGCAAGATAAAGAGCATCGCGTTCGGAGGAAATGGCGGTGAGTACGCGGAGTATGCCAAGGCGATCGCTCCCGGAGAACCTCTAGATCCGTTCGTTAATGATCAAAAGTGGAACAAGCCATCATTGTTGTTCAACGAGGTTTTGCCGCGAAGGCAAGTGAGACACGACGAGAAGAACGAGGTGCACGCGGTCGCAGACCAGAGAATCGACCCAGACTGGAGGACGGACGTCGAGGTTATGAACCACCAGTGGTACTGCACGAACTACGTCTCCGATCGCGAGGACTGTGGCCTCGCTGGATTATCCGTGGACCTCGGCGGAGACGTAAAGTTGGTGCAAGGGCGAAATTATGATCGAAATCTTCGTGAACAAGACAAGTTTTGGCCGCCTCCAGCGAAAAGTCTCGACGTGGACGAGCTCCCTGAGGGCACCCCGCTGCGACTCCCTGCGAATTCAATGCATGAGGCCAAGGAGTACACGTTCACACTGATGTCCACGAAGACGAAACGCGATTCCTTCCCGGACATGACCGTGCTTCTCACGACGTACAAGACGTGCCCGACAGCGACGATCGAGCCGATTCACGGCAGGGTGAATACGCAATTTTTATTCCGCATCTATGGCAACGGCGCAAGCGTAAAGGGGGATGTGTACTTCCGATGGTCGCTCGTCGACGCGCATCCGCTTGACGCGGCGACATTAAAGAAGCCGGAGACGACGAACTGGTTGGACAAGGCGTATTTTTCGATAGCGAAGAATACGATGGTCCCTGGAAGAGAATACGTGTTGAAGCTCTTCGTGACGACAGATAAAAACGACCCGGACACGTGCATTGGCGAAGCGGAGCGCCTTTTACTTACAAACACCCCTCCGAGAGCAATCGACGGCATAACATTTGACCCACCCGATGGCGGGATTGAGTTCAACACCAGTTACACCATCGAATGCGGGTCATGGGTCGACGACGGCGCAGAAGCCCTGGAGTACCGACTTGCATTTTGGTACGACTTCGATGTGTACAAGCCCCGGTGGGCGTGGTTGACCGACCGCCAAAAAGGCATGTCGACTTTTCGAAACGTGTTCGTGCCTCATTCTCCCGGGAGCATCGACACGAAAGTTCGATGCGTCGCATATGACGCGGACGGCGCATTTGGCGTGAGCGCAGGCGCGGTCAAAGTTGAGGAAAATTCAAATCTTGGTGCCGCGCTTGAAGGCATTTTCAATGTCGGCAATCACATGGACAACGTGCACGTGTTCCCCGCGGCGCTTCGACGATTACAGCAGCAAGATAAGGCGAGACATAAAGAGCGCGCACGACGTAGCTCGGCCGCGTTGCTCGGGGAAAGCCTTCCGCCGCGGCCTGATCTTGAAGAACTCAGCTCGAGCCTTAAAACGGCGCTACAGGGGCTAAAAACGTTGATGTCACAGACCCCATTCATTTCTATATCACTTCGCGACGCGGCATTAGAGCTAGTCGACACCTACGTTGCGACCTCGGAGTTAGACGACGCACACGCGAGGTCGCTTCCCGCGGCCGATATCCTGGAAATCATAGCGCGAACGGCGCACGATTGGCCAGACGGCGTCGACGATGCATCCGAGCCCCCAGATGAAAACGGCGAGCTCGGTGACGGCACTTGGTCGGCGTTAATGACCGCGTACGGACGCTCCACGGCACGACATGGCACTGACAAGGTCGGCGTGAGCACGTCGCGCGTCCTTCGAGGCTCTGCTGCCGCGGATGCATCCAACGACGAAGTCTGCAATGCACCACTTACGAAGCGCGTTGTCACCGTCGATGGCAAGGTTTCTTCAGAAAAACTCTTTGCACGTGTGACGTATTCTGGCACCCCGAGCGGGTACCACGAGCAGCTCGCGTCCGGAAGCTGGCCGAGCGAGATCCCGAAGTTCAACGTCACTGGGCGCTTCCGCAGCAGCGACGAGGTATTCGAGTCTGTTGCCGTGGAAACCCCTATCCCGGATGCGAAACCGATAGTCGGCGGGTGCGCGCACTTTTGCGTAATTGCGAATGGTGACGTTGTGTGCTGGGGACAGGGCGAATACGGTCAACTCGGCACGGGTAGCGTATCCAACGTCGGTAACGCGCCCGGAGAGATGGGTGATAAATTGAAACGCGTTCCGTTGGGTTCGAAGGCGACGCAGCTCGCATCAGGGTGCCAGCACACCTGTGCACTGACTGACGATGGCAAGGTGATGTGTTGGGGACGAAACCAGTACGGGCAGCTCGGCGTCGGCGCGGACGTCGGTGAAATAGGCGCGGACTTTATCGAGGGCAACGAAATTACCGCCGTGGACCTCGGGACGGGCATGGAAGCGATTCAGATCGTGGCGGGACTTGAACATACGTGCGCGCTCTTGAGCGATCGCTCGGTCAAGTGCTGGGGAAGGAATAACAAGGGGCAACTCGGTCAGGAGGAGCCGCCGTCGAAGAATCGTGGGACGTCGCCGATGGACATGGGCGACGACCTCCCGCCGATTAAAGTCATGGGTAAAGGATCTAAGGGCGTCGTCACGCGGCTGTTTGCCGGGAGCGAATACACGTGTGCGGTCATCGAGACGGACAGCGGGAGGGGCGAGTGCACGCTCGACTGCGATTACATTACCACAGAAGAAGCCAAGTGCTACGTCAACAGGTACCCGGACTTACGCAGAGCCTTCGGACACAACATCGGTGCCGCGAAAAGACACTGGAATAAACACGGGAAGAAAGAGGGACGCGATAAAGAATGCGATTCTCATAAAAAAGTGAAGAGTAGCAAGGCCAAATTCAAGTGTTGGGGTGGGAACGAAGTATGCCGCATGAATGTGTGGCGAGACTGGAGCAAAAACAACAAGAACTACGGAGACAGACCCGGGTCGATGGGCGAAAATTTGGATTTCGTCCACCTCACTCGCCCGGTGAAGCAGCTCGCGTTGTCTCAAAGGCTCACTTGTGCGATCCTCGAATCCGAAGCAAATGCAGGAGAGGACGAGCTCGTATGTTGGGGTGAATACGCGAAACGGGAACTCCCGGGACGATTCGGTGTGATAAACGAGTGCAGAGATGGACATTACAAGCAATTACCGTTCGGGAAGACGGCATACGATCTCACGTCAATATCAGACTCCGGGGACAGAAACGCCACCTACCCTGTGCAAATCGACGGCGGTCATACGCACATCTGCGTGACGATGAGCGATGGGAACGTCCGTTGCATCTGCGACTCGCAATTGAATACGGCGACCGTTATGGCTTATCGCCAAAAGGGGTTCAAGCTCTACGCAGACTTTTCCGACCCGATCGTGTGCGGCTATGGAGACGTGTCACCGAGAAAAAAAGGTGAAGATTGGGCCGAAGGTTCGCCTCCCGTCGTCGATCTCGGCGGCGACGTCGCGTTCGTCGTCGCGGGTGGGACGTCGAACTGCGCGATGCTGAGAAGCGGCGTCGTGAAGTGCTGGGGGCAAAATTTCGCCGGTCAGCTGGGAGTCGGTGATGCGGTTGCGGTTGGGAACTCGTCGAAGAACATGGGAGCGAATCTTCCCGCGGTGTCGTTACCCCCCGGCGTACCGAAGAAGCAAGGCACGAAGGGCTTCGTCCAAGAACGGCGAATGGTGACGCCGACGAACGTGAAGTCAGATCTGTGCGCGACGTTTAGTGCGGGCGCGATACCGTCCGCCGCGTTTGCGAAGTGCCCCGACAGCACGTCCGTGGAGAATTGCGGGTTGCCGTTTGTCGTGAGCGAGTCCGTCGCATTCCTCTCTATTGTTGACGATTTCAGCGGACAGATCGACTATTTACATTCGCTCCGCTCGAGCGTGACCTTGCGAGTCGATGAAAGATACCGAACGCTCGTATCGGTGAACGAGGAGGAAGAAACAGACGAAGAGAAGAGCGCAGTATATTGTGCGGTGCTTCACACTGTGTCAGCGGAAGGCGCCGGGTCCGCGGCCGAGGAGGATATTCTCTGGCGTGATGACGACTGCGTCGTGACGCGAGCAGAGGGCGATGCGAGCGTTTACACGTGCACGTGTAAAAAGCTCGGCGCCGTCGCGCTCGCGCTGCGCCCCGAGCGCGCGGAGGACTGGAAACGCGCCGGGTCGCGCGGAAGATCTCCAAGCTGTTTTGACGGTGTTTTGAACGGAGCTGAAACGGGCGTGGACTGCGGCGGCGATCGATGCAGCCCGTGTGCACTCGCGGCGACGGCGACGGCGCAGGTGGCGCCGTCGGCGGCGGCGAAGAGCGAGGGCACTGATTTCTCGGGCTCGACGCCGACGCCGACGCCGACGCCGACGTCGTCGGAAGTCGACGACGACGCGACCTCGGTCACGACGACGTACGCGATCACCGGCATGTCCGCGGCGAAAGCGGACGCGCAGTTGAATTTCGTCGAAAACGTCCTCGTGAAGTCGCGCCTGAGCCGCGGGATCACATTTCACGCGCTCGCGACGACGCGCGTCTCCGCGGAGAAGAGCGCGGACGGCGCGTCGGCGACGCTCGTATTGAAATTCACCGGGTTCGTCGGAAAGGACCCGAGGGGCGTGAAGCGGTTCTCGCAGATGTCCGCGGGGCCGCGGACGATGCGCGCGACGAACGCGATCATGAAGAAGCGCGGCTCGCTCGTCGTCGCCGCGAATCACCGAACGGATTCGGTCATCTCCTGGAGCGACGCGCACGAACGCGCGCTTAGAGGACGCATCGGGGGCTTGATTCGCAGGGCGAAAGCGGCCGTCGCCGTGGGCGACGGAGCCGCGCGCGCCAAGTTCGCGCGCGGGATCCGGTATTTCAAGGCACTCCTGAACGGACCGTCGGCGGCTCCCCCCGCGTCGCTCGGCGCCGCGAAGACGAAGCACGCGACCATCCGCAGCCTCCCGATCGCGTCGACCGTCGCGACCGCGACCGTCGTCGCCGCCGTCGCGTTGTTCGTCGTCGTCGCGCGGCGGCGGCGGCGGCGCGGAAGAGGCGATGCCGGCGGCGCGGAAGAAGAAGCTGCCTTCGTCGTCGACGCGCCCGCGGAGGCAGATTACGGCTCGTTCGCGTGAGCGAGTGAGAGACGACGCTCGCTTTTCGCTCGGCGCCGAGAGAGGTGCACGTGTACTGTAAGTAGAGTTGTAAATAACAGACTCGCAGCTTTCTTGGTGAGAAATTTCACACTGAAAATCTCACGCTGAAGAAACGAATGACTGAAATGACACTGACTAATTTCTTGAATAAATTACTCAGGAATTATTGGCGGAGCCTTTTTACATACGCGCGCAAAGACGCTCGCGTTTTCGCCTGCGGTTTATCACCGAAACCATCGCAACGCTTACTCGAAGTTTGTTGACGTTCTTCTTCGTAACCGCAGCGAAGTCGAGTGAAAACGTGCCATTAGCGTTCGCGTTCGGACAGGTATGCGGAATTTATATCACAAAGACTTTGTGTTTTATTCATCCGCGCGTGAATAACATTCAAACTCACGTCGTGAATTTCTACGCAGCTCGCGTACGGTTCGTGCATTTTGTTTTTCTACGCGGTAACGCAAATGGATTTTGCGAAAGTCGGGGTGCGCGTTCTCAGTTTCAAAGGTAACACGAACGAGCAATCACAAGCGAATATCTCGACAACCGCGGAGATTAACATTTAAGTTATTTCAGGCAACATCGAAGGTCAAACGCTGGCGCTTATCGGGACGTTTTCAGTCCAGGCTATGTGGAAACTTTTATTAGCGGAGGGAGAAAAAGGCGTGCTCATTTGGGCCGGGAGTGCAGATTCCCAAGGCGTCTATGCTTTGGTTTCATCACTTGGTTCTCTGTTCGTGAGAATCATTTTGCAACCGTTCGAGGTTTGTCTTTGCGGTATAGAACATTTTTTTCTTTACTTTTTAATCATCTTTCTTCGGCAGGAAGCTGCATTTATAACCTTTTCTGCGAGTAAAAATACGAAAGAATCAGAGGGGAAGCCAAGTGCTGACGATATCAAGTGCGCGAACGCTCTTCTTTATACTTCTTCATTCTGTACTGACCAAAATCACCATGAAAGGCGCTTATCATTGATCTTCAAGCTCGCGTTTTATCTCGGGTTGATCGTTGCATTGCATGGACCTCAGTATTCACGATTAGCTTTAAGTTTTCTTTATGGTCGTCGTTGGGCGGAAACTGAAGGCGCTGCGTCGACGCTCAGTGGTTTCGCAGTGATGGTATTCTTCCTCGCGACCAATGGAATATTGGAAGCGTACACGCACGCGGTGATGACTCCATCCGAACTATCTTCTGCGAATTTATTTTTGCTTTCGAGTTCTATCTTGAACGTTATTTGTTCGATTACGCTGCAAGCATATCTTGGAGTGTTGGGTCTGATTGTCGCAAACTGTTTAACGATGTCTGCGCGCATATTTTACGCGATTTATTACATACTTCGCGTGCGCTTAAAAGGAGCGAGGTTCTTAGTCCTTGAGGATTTACTTCCGCGAATAGAAGTTTTCAGCGTTCTCTTCTTTACATCTGTTGGAACCGTCTTTACGTCTTCGCTTGATGCTTGGATTCATCTCGGCGGCGGGGTTCTCGCTCTTGGCTTAATTGGCGCAGTTCTTTGGTTGCGGGAATCGTCGTCGTTCACAAAGCTCAAGGACTTAAAGCGACGAAAGACAGAGTAAAAAACATGCTCTTTGCTAGGTCTCAAACTAGACTTATAATAGAAATTTTAGAATACTTCCTTCACACTCGCGGAAGCGTTTCCTCTTCTTCGTCTGCTTGTAATCTAAAGAATGCACGATCCATTGACGAGACCTCCGCTTGCCGAGCTGCGCCTTCGAGCGTTTCTTCCAGAATAAGTCCCTTCGTTTCTTGTAAGACTGTTGCAGCCGCGAAAAAATCTCGTCGTCCCAACCGTACGGTTGGGACGACGAGATTTTTTCGAGAGAGAAAAAAATCTCGTACACGCTCGTGACCAAATACGCATAGAGGGCATCCTCGTACTGTATCGCTGACCGTTACCCAAGTTTTTTTGGGTTTCTCGACTCGCGTCATCGGTTTCGCGTCGACGAGTGTAACGAGCGACGCGACGAGTGAGGAATCTCCAAGCGTCGTTCTTCACCTTTCTTCGACAGGTGTCCACTTCATTCAGATCTCGTACGCGCCGCGTCGCCTCTCGCCCCCGCCTCGCGCGCGCGCCGCGCGTCATGAGCTACTACCCGTGCGCGCCCGCGGCGAACACGACGTACTACGCGTACAACGCGCAGCCGCCGGCGGAGTACGTCGTCGTGCAGCAGCAGCAGCCGGTCGCGCAGGCGTACGGGTACGCGCAACAACCGCAGCAACCGGTCGCGCAGGCCGCGGCGCCGTCCGAACCGAAGAAGAAAGGGTTCATGTCGAAGATGACGGACAAGGCGTCGAAGATCGTGGACCACGCCATGGAGGTGGGCGTCACCGGCGCCGCGAGCGCGCTCGGGGGGAAGGCGTCGTACCTCGCTTCCATGATGGCCGCGGGAGGGACGACCAAGTACTGGAAAAAACTCTTCGCGCCGCCTCCGGAGGACGTGCTGAGGGACACGTTCGGGTGCCACCTCATGCAGGGGGATAACGACCTCGTCCCGGGCGTTTTATTCGTCTCCGACTTCGCCGTGTGCTTCTCGAGCGACGTCGCGCAGAAGCCGAACCGGAACACGGACCACCCGGGAGGCTACCTGAAGATCATCTTTCCGATCGATCACACGGAGACGATGCAGGCGCGTCCCATACACTGGTCCCCATACGACCGCGTTGGCGTGGTGAACGCCGATCCTTAAGGAATTTTCCCAGCGTGTCTCTCCGCCCAGCCATCGCTTTCAAACCCCGCCCTCGGCGCCTTTCAACTCCGCTTCTGACGCCTATGAACTCCACCCCGACGTTCGCTCGTATGGAACGACCCCGCAGCCGCACTCGGACGCGCAGTCCGGGGACCAGTGGCTCGGGATCATCATGCTGAACAAAGGGCAGTTCTGGTTCAAAGGGTTCATCGAGTACGACCTCGCGATGAAGCGTCTGACCGAGGTGACGCAGAGGTACGCGGAGATCAAGGCGAAGTCGATGGCGGCGGCGCCGAGCGCGCCGCCGGCGCCGACGATGGTGACGATGGCCGGTCCGGTGACGTGCATCCCGATGCCCGTGCACACGGCGCATTAGCGACGCGTCGGAGGACGAGTAGATGTAAAGTTGTTAGATGTTGTTATCATACCCTCAACAAACACATGCTACTGTAAATAAACCGCGCGAGCGAGTGATGAGTCATCATGTCAGTCGTCAGCGTCTCTTCTTTTTGTTCTTCGCCGCCAACGCGGCTTCCTCCGCGGCGACGCGAATCGCCTCCAGCTCCTCCGGCGTCTTGATCCGCGGCAACCGCGCCGCCGACCGCGCGAGAAGGTCGCCCTCGAACGCCCCCGCGGCTCTCCTCGGGGTCACGCGCTTCGCGTCCTCCTCGTTCAGCTCCAGAAGCGTCGCCGCGAGCGCGGGGGGAATCAGCGGAAGACCCGGGAACGACGCCGGCGCGGGCGGCGGCATCGGCGCCGTCGGCCGCGGCTTCTCCTTCTTCTTCTTCTCGCCCTTTTCACCCTTGTCCTTGCCGCCCTTCTTCTCGCCCTTGGAGTCGCCCTTCCCGGTCTTACTTAGGTCCTTAGGCTCTTCCTTCTCTTCCTCCTCGAGCAGATCCGCCGGCGGCGTCCACACCGCGTCGGCGGGCTCCTCTCCCGCCTCGACGCGCGCGTTGAACGCCGCGAGCTCCTCGGCGCGTCGACGCTCGCGCTCCGCCTTAGGGTCGTTCCATACAAAGCGACGTCGGGGTGGATTTGAAAGGCGTCAGTCGGAGTTGAAAGGCGCCGAGGGCGGGGATTGAAACCGAGGGATGGGCGGAGAGATGCGCCGGGCAAAGTTCTTAAGGATCGGCGTTCACCACGCGAACGCGGCCGTATGGGGACCAGTGTGAGATATAACGCGCCTTCTCCGCGAGCGCTATCCCGACCGGGTCCGGGTCGTCGAGCGCGAAATCGGAGCGCATGAAGAGCGTCTCGAACGCGGGGTACGTCAGCGTCGCCCAGTCGTCCTCGCCCGGCGGGTCGCAGCCTTCCTCGAGAGGCGGATTCGGCGGGTCGCCGGGCGCCGCCGGCGGCGGCGGCGGCGGGCACAGGTTGAGGATCGTCTCGCGTTCGTAGTGCCAGCACGTCCCGGCGATTTCTTCGAGCGTTTTCGCCGCGTCGAAGGCTCTGCGGTGGGGCGATGCCAGCGTAGTTGTACAAAAAAAAAGCATTCATCGGTCAGTCGTGAGGGATCAGAGCAGCGATCAAACGGCGAAACCGACGCGACGAGAGGCGGGTGCAAAAAGAAAACGTGCGTGATGAGCAGACTAATGAGAACGCGCCTGACCGTCGCGGCGCCGTCGGGGTTGACCTTCTTCCAGTAAAACGACCTCAGGAGATCCTCCTCCGCGTCCATCGCGGCCATCTCGCGCGCGAAGCTCTCCCAGCGCGATTGGTGCGCGAGCGTCCACGCCTCGAGCGCGGGGGAGACGTCGTTGTCGTCGGGCGCGCGATCCGCGAGCGCGGCGTCGCCGGGCGCGCGCCGCGGCGCCGCCCACGTCTCCCCCTCGCCCGCCTCAATCTTGAACGGGTGCAGCTGCCGCGCGCGGTCCGCGCGGAGCTTCGAAGCGCGTCGCGTCAAGAACGCGTCGCGCTCCTCGTCGCCCTTCGTGAAGCGCATCTGGTGCGGCTCGATCTTCAGTCGCTCGAAGACGTCCGGGCCGAAAAAGTCGAGCTCGAGAAACGCCGGAGACGTCCCGCCGGCGGCGCTCTCGACGAAATCCCACCCCGCTCCTTCGTCGCCGCCAGACAACGCCGGGACGTCGTCGTCGTCGATCGCGACGCCGTTCACGCGAAGGTTGCGGATCGAGCGCCACGGCGTCCGCGACGCCGCGGCGAAGATTTGCTTCGCGATGGACGCGCGCGCCGCCGCCTCCTCCGGAGGTCCCTCAATCAGATCCAACGCGTAGTGCATCGACATCGGCGACGGAATCTCCGGCGTCTTCTGCGCCTCGTTCCACGCCCTCTCCGCGGCGACGACCGGGTCGTCCTCAACGCGCGTCTCGTCGTCGTCGTCGTCGTCGTCGTAGTCATCGTCCGACGCGCTCTCGCCCGCGGCGGCGGCGGCTTCCCTCTTCGCCTTGGCCGCCGCCTTCTTCGCGAGTTTCTCCTCCTCCGCGACGCGCTTCGCCTCCATCGCCGCCTTCATCGCCTCTTCTCGCGCGTACGCCTTCGCCTCCGTCGCGGTCACGAGCGGGTAACACCCCAACCGGTCACACGCGTGCGCTTGCTCTAGGACGCGCAGGGACGACAACACCAGAGGCCAGTGATCGTCCGCGTCGTCGCACGGCGTGAACGCGGTAACCGCGGCTTCGCACCGCACCTCGGAGACGTCCAAGGCGTCGACGAGCGACACCGCGCGCGCGCACGTGAGCTTTCGGCCGCTCAGCGCGAGCCGCAGATCGCCGGTGTAACATCCGCCGTCGCCGGCGCGCGAGACGTACCCGACGCACGAGCCGCCGTTTCCGGCGGCGGATTTCGATAACGTCTCCGCAAAGGACGTTACCTCGTCGTCCGACAGCCACATCGCTTTTTGCGCCGGGGTCTCGATCGCAGGAAGAATCTTCGCGCGCGGGGTGGCGACGAAGTCTAGGGTCAGCATCCCGCGCTTCGGGACCCCGGTCTTCTTCCAGCCCGCGATCGTCGCGAGCGCGTCGGTCGCGAGCGTCCCGTCGAGCTTCATCCATCGAACGTTCACCGGCGGAGGCACCTCGACGTATTCCTTCTTCTTCTCTTTCGCGATCTCCGCTTTTTCCTTCTCGCGCTTTAGGTGCGCCGCGCGATCGTCGTGCGCGGCGCAAACGAGCTTCGTCGCGGTCAACCGATCGCATCGCAGCGCGAGGTTCAGCGCGTGATACCCCGTCGGGTTCCACGACGTGAACGGCGCGAAGTGCGGCGCGCCGACGCGGCGCAAGTAAGCGCCCTGCTCGTCCGCGGTGAGCGCGTCGGGGTGGAGTTGAAAGGCGTCAGATGGAGTTGAAAGGCGTCGAGGACGGGGATTGAAAGCGAGGTGTGTGCGGAGAGAAACGACGGGCAAAGTCCTTAAGGATCGGCGTTCACCACGCCAACGCGGTCGTATGGGGACCAGTGTGAGATAGAACGCGCCTGCTCATCCGCGGTGAGCGCGTCGAGGATGGCGTCGAGGCCGCCCTTTTTCGTCGACGCCACGGTCCGCGGCGCCACCGTCGCCGCCGCCTCCACGCGCGTCTCCCCGTGCTCGATCGCGCGCACGAGCGTCGCCGCATCACAACTGCTTCGATACATAGCTCAGGCCGCTCCAAGAGCGATCATTACGTCTGGTATGAGCTCCACGGCTGCTGGTCTCACTGTTTCAATTGCAAATGCTGACAGCAGGGCAAACTGCTCAATCGAAGCCGGCGCCCTTGCTCTTGCGGATGGAGGACTTTGCTGTATCGACGAATTTGGCTTCATACGGCCTGGTGAACTCACTGCAATTCATGAGGCAATGGAACAACAGACTCTTTCATTTGCGAAAGGAAGAGTGGTCGCTACGCTGCAGACCCGTTGCGCTGTCGTGGGCGCTTGTAATACAAAAGGTTTTGCACATAGTCTGTCTGCTTCTCTTGTCACGAGTACATCTTTCTCACAGCCACTTCTTTCTCGCTTTGACTGTGTAATGATTCTTTCAGATGATCGGAATGAAGATGCAGATCGCTTGCTTTCGACTCACATGATCTCACTTCACAGCACCGGCACGTCAAATGAACAAATTGGAAAACGAAACTTGCAGACTGAAACAGTTCTGAAAACGGCAAAACTAAAACTGGATTTATTCACGGCGGAACCATCCAGTTCTGAGCATGAGTCGATACGACATGATTTTGAAGACATTAAAGACGACACTGAAGCACGCTCTACTAGACCTAAGTTGTGGCCCCTTGATCGAATTCGGTCCTATATCGCACTTGTGCGTTCTAATATTGATCCGGCTATTTCTACTGAGGCTGAAGCTCTTTTGCGAGGTTATTACCAGATGCAGCGCCGGAAAAAGGAAAACATCTCGGGGCACCCAACCATTCGTTTACTTGAAAGTTTGATTCGTTTGACACAAGCACACGCGCGACTATTGTGGATGGACATGGCGACAGAGCGAGACGTGGTGGTTGCTGTGAGTCTTGTCGAGAATTCGTTCTCTCAGCCGTTAACTTCAAAGTCTGCACAAGATCCCACTCTCTATTTTAGAGGTTTTGTTTCAGACCAGGAAACTCACCAACAGAAGTTGCAACTTCTACAACGAATCAGCGCGATCGCGCGGCGAGCGCGATGGCGGCGAGGCGCTCGCGCGGCGTCATCGTCGGCGTGGAGACGTGATCGAGCGCGACTCGAAACGCCGCGTCCGACGCCGGCGCCGCCGCCGGGGACGCGTCCGCGCCGCGTCGCGTGACGACGTCCAAGGATAAGACGCCCTCCTCGGGAAGCGTCGCGTCGTCCGCCCAGCCCATGCCTATCGGATCCCGGCGCACGGGGACGCCCTCGTACCGGACGTTGACCACCGTCCCGGAGACCTTCTCTTCCAGCGCCAACGCGTCGAGCGCGACGCGGCGTTCGAGCGCGTGGTCCAATCGCAGGACGTATCGCCCGTCCGGGTTGGCGACGTCGAACGGCGCGTCGTCGTACGCGCTCGGGGGAGGCGGAGGCGGCGGCGGCGGCGGCGGCGCGTTCTTCCCCGTCGGCGGCGGCGGCGGCGCCTTCGCCGCGGCGGGCTTTCCTCCGCCCTTTTTCCCCTTGTTTTTCTCCTCCAGGCGCGCCTCCTCCGCTCTTCGCGCGGCGGCGACGACGTCCGCCTCGATGGACGATAACCGCGCGCCCTCGAGCGTTACCAGGAGCGGAGCTTTCTTCCCCGCGGCCGTTTTATTCCGCGCGTTCGCCGCGTTCACGATGGCGTCGATCGCCTTGCGCGACGTCGGATTGCGTCCGACGTGGAGCGACTCGAGGCTTTCGTTTCGCGACAGAGACGCGGCGACGGCGGCGGCGCCGCGCTCGCCCATCCTCGTCGCGCTCAGGTCCAAGGACTTGAGCTCGACCTCGCCGCCGAGCATGAGCCCGATAGTTTCCGTCCCTTCGTCTTCCAGACCGTTGTGCGAGATGTCGAGGATGCGAATCGTCGCGTTGACTTTCACCAAGGCGGCGAAGCGCGCCGCGCATCGCGCGCCGAAATTGTTGCGACTGACGTTCAACTCGACGACGCCTTGGTTCTGGTCCACGCTCGACGCGAGCGCCGCGGACGTCAGCGGGCCGAGCTGATTCCTCGAGAGATCCAGCGATTTCACGCTCGAGTTATCCGCGAACACTTCCCCGAGCTTCGCGCCGCAGACGTCGTCGAGACCGACGTTCGAGAGCCGGAGCGTCGTCAACGCGCAGTGCGAATCTTTCAGTCGCCGAGCGCAGTTCGGATCCAACGCGTCTCGCAGCGCCTCGACGCCCGTCAGCTTCGGCCCCGGGTTATCGCTCAGGTCCAAATGCGTCAGCACGCTGTTGTGCGTCAGCCCGCGCGCGATCGCGACGAACCCGGCGTCGCGCACGTCGTTATCGCGCAGGTCGAGGCGCGTCAGCGAGACGCAGAGCGGATTTCTCAACGCGGCGGCGACGGCGGCGACGGCGGCGTCGCCGAGCGCGCGGTGCCGCAGCTCGCACCGGTCGCTGTCTGTCGCGAGCCCGCGCGTCGCGGCGGTCTGCGGGACGATCCCCGCGGCGCGACACGCGGCGACGTACGACTCCGCGGGGGTCGGGGGGACCGTCGCGGGTTCGATCCACTCGAGGCCGTGCGCGCGGTTCCAGTCGGCGCCGACGGCTTTTCGAGCGGGCGGCGGCGGCGGCGGCGGCGGCGGGGGAGGGGTCTCCTCGGCCGCCGGACGCGCTTCCTCCGCGGGGGTCTCCGCGGGATCCTCTTTGGTCGCGGTCGCGGTCGCGGTCGCGGTCGCGGCCGGCGCCGCCGGCGCCTCTTCCGCGGGGGTCTCCGCGGGCGCCGCCTCGGCGTCGTTCGCGTCGGCTTCCCGAGCGGCGGTCTCTTCCTCCGCCTTCGCCTCGGTCTCCTCGGTCGCCGCGTCCGCCGCCGCGGGCTCGGGCTCGGCGACTTCGGGCGCGTCCGCGTGGGCGACCTCTCTCGCGCTGTCGGCGTCGTCGTCGTCGGCGGCGGCGGCGACGACGACGTCCGCAGACGCGCCGCCGCCGCCGTCGTCGTCCTCGTCCGCCTTCCCCGCCTCCGCCGCCTCCGCCGCCGCCGCCGCCGCCGCTCGCTTCGCTTTCATCGTCGCGTGCATCTCCTCCATCGCCCTCTTCTGCTCCTCCTTCTCCCGCCGCGCCCTCTCCTTCGCGCTCTCCAGCCTGATCGCCGCCGCGCGCTCCGCGAACGCGCGCTTGTACCCAGCCTCGACGGCCCGTAACACCCGGTCGCGCGGCCACGCGCGTAACCGCGCGTGAAGAAGCTCGTTGTTGAACGTTCGCTGCGCGCTTCGCTTCGCGTTCGCGTGGAGCTTCGCGCGCGCGTCCTTGGTCATGAACGCCAGCGCGTCGTGCGTTTGCGTTTGCGTTTGCGTTTGCGACGAGGACGATGACGAGGCGGCCGCGGCGGCGCCGCTGGAACCGCGCGAGGGGTCGATCGCCGCCGTCGCGCGTCGCAGCTCTTCCTCCATCAACGATGGAAATCGCAACTTGGCGTCTCGCCAAAACTCGCGTTCTCTTCGGTCCACGTACGCCTGCGCGGCGTCTCTGACTTCCTTGTTGAGGATCTCCGCGCCGACGGCCAGGTGCGCGTCCGCGTCGTCGTCCGTCTCGGAATCCGGCGGGTTCGATCCTCCTCCTCCGCCCTCGAACGAGGACGACCTGATGAGACTCCGTCCCGGCCCAACGCCCGAGGCTCCGATTCCGCCGAAGGACTTCTTCCTGCCGAGCGCTCCCCCCGCGCCGCCGCCCGCGCGCCCGTCGTCGCTCCCCGCGATGGCGTCGTCCGCGTCGCGGTTCCCGTACGCGGGCTCGCCGCGCGTCGCGTCGGGCGCGAGCTCGGAGGCGAAGATGCGCGCCGCCTCGGCGCGCACGGCGACGACGACGCGAGTCTCCGACTCGGTCGGATCGCGCGTCCTCACGCGGAGCTTCTGTCGCAGGGACGAGACCGAGGCGTCGTAGGCGGCGGACTTCACGAGCTCGGGGTCGACGACCGCGTCCGCGGCGGCGGCGTCGTCGCCGTCCGCGCCGGAACCCATCGCGATCCCGAGCGCGGCGATCGATTCCGGAGAAGCCTCGGCGTCCGCGTCCGTCGTCCTACGCGACTACTACGATTCTTCGCGTCGAGGATGAATGAAACGAATCCACGACTACGACGAACGAATCGCGCGCGTCGACGCGACCGCGCGACGCGACCGCGCGCTCGTATCGACGCGAAGGCGCGTCTCCGCGATCGCGCGCGAGTCCTCTCGGCGTCGTCCTCGCGCGCGCGCGTCGTGCGAGGCCGTCCGCGCGCGTCGGTATGCGGCGGTATGCGGCGAGGCGACGAGAGCCAAAATTGGAAGGCGTCCGCGTCCGCCTCGTCGAGGTCAGCTCTAGCTCTTCGCTCGAGCGAGCGCGAGCGCGAGCAGCAGCGCTGCGAGTCTCGGAGAATCATTCCACGACACGCGGCGGCGGCAGCGGGGCGACGACGGCGCGACGACGCGGATCGGTCGCGCGGAGACCGCGGACGCGATCGTCTCCGCGACTCGCCACCGCAGCGCGACGATCCCGGCGCGCGCGCGGGAGCGGGCGGGACCCGTCGTTCGTCGCGACGAAAGAGGAGGCGGCGCGGGCGGCACCGCGTCGTCCGCATCGAATCTGATCGCGAGGAGGCCGCCGAACGATGCGCAACCTCGTCGCGTCGTCGTACGCGCGATGGCGCGTCCCGCTCGCCCCCGACCCGGAGTCCCCCGACGGCGCGCTCGAGACCGTCGTCGCGCACTGCCACGACGCGGACGCGGGCGTCGCGTACGTCGTCACGAGCGCGTGTAACCTCTACGGCGTGGAGACGCGAATGGGATCGGGTAAATGCGTTCTCGAGATGACACTCGTGACGCCGCCGCGCTCCTCCTCGGACGCGGACGCGGACGCGATCGACGCGGAACCCCCCGCGCTGCCGCGTCGCGCGGACTGCGTCGCCGCGGAGCACGTCGTCGAGCTCGGCGGGCTCTGCCTCGCGATGGCGTCCGGCGAGCTCCTCGTCGTCGCGCCGGAGGATGGCGATGGCGACGACGCGATCGACGCGCGTTCGACGCCGTGGGCGACGGAATGCGTGGGGGAGGTGAGGAGCGGTCTGCGCGCGATGCGATGGTGCCCGGACGGGGAGATCCTCGCGCTCGTCACCGGCGCGAACACGATCGTGTGCATGACGAAGGATTTCTTCGTCCTCGCGGAGGCGCCCATCGGCGGCGGTTGCGGCGGCGGCGGCGGCGGCGGCGGTGAGACTGCTTCCCATACGACCCCGTTCGCGTTGTGAACTTCATTCCTTAAGGACTTTTCCCGTCGTCACTCTTCACCCGCGCTTCCCTTTCAACGTTTGACCGGTGAGACGTTCGACTGACCGATCGCTTCACCCACGCAGGCGGCGGCGGCGGCGGCGGCGAGAAGACGACGACGACGCCTCTCGCGTGCGACGGCGCTGCGCTGAGCTGGCGCGGCGACGGGCAGTTCCTCGCGTCCGTGTCGTTCGCTCGCGCCGGCGACGGCGACGGCGACGGCGCCGACGCCTCCGTCGCGGCGCCGGAGATGAAGGTGTGGGGAAGGGAGGATCTCGAGCTGCACTCCGCGGGGGAGAAGACGAAGTCGCCGTTGGCCACCGGCGGCGGCGGCGGCGGCGGCGCGACGACCCCGGCGCGACCGCCGCTCGCGTGGCAGCCGCGCGGCGCGCTCCTCGCCGCCGCGATCGCGAACGAGGTCGTCTTCTTCGAGAGGAACGGCCTCCTGCGCGGCGGGTTCGAGCTCCCGAGCGAGGGCGTCGGCGTTACCGTGACGCGGCTCGCGTGGTCGAAAGACTCGAATTTTCTCGCGGTGGTCGTCGCCAAGGCGCCCGACGCCCACGACGACGCGGAAGACGACGTCGCCGAACACGACGACGAATACGAAGACGACCGCTCCCCGAGCCGTCGTCGCCGCCGCCGCCGCCGCGCGTCGCGCAGCGGCGTCGCCGGCTCTAGCGTCCAAATCTGGACGCGCGGGAACATGCACTGGTACCTCAAGCGCGAACGCGCGTACGGCGTCGAAGAGGGCGTCGTCCACGTCGAGTGGGACGACGACGACGCGACGCTTCTTCGCGTCGTCACCGCCGCCGGCGCGATCGAAACCCACGCCCACTCGCAAGACGTGGACGTCTCCCTCGCCGCGACCGTCGCGGTGATCGACGGCCCGCGCGTGCTCGTGACGCCCCTCGCGCGGACGCCGACGCCGCCCCCGTTGGCGGCGGCGACGTGTACGGTGCGTTCTATACACTGGTTCCCATACGACCGCGTTGGCGAGGTGAACGCCGATCCTTAAGGACTTTGCCCGGCGCATCTTTCCGCCCACCCCTCGCGTTCAATCCCCGACCTCGACGCCTTCAACTCCACCTGACGCCTTTGAACTCCGCCCCGACGTTCGCTTGTATGGAACGACCCTAAGTTCCCCGCGCCCGTCGTCGAGTGCTCGTGGCAGCCGCCGTGTGGCGCGGACGCCGCCGACGGCGACGGCGACCCGGAACGGCTCCTCGCGCTCCTCAGCGACGGGACGCTCGGCGTCGTGTCATCGTGTCGGTCGACGGCGTGGGAAGAGACGTCGGAGGCGCTCGCGGATGAGACCGGAGACCTGGAGGGGCGCGGCGCGTCGGCGCTGCGAGGGACCGTCCTCGAGGGATCCGAGGCGCTCGGCGTGCTGACCAAAGGCGGCGGCGCGCTTCGGCATCTGTGCTGGCTCGACGCCGGCAGCGCGCTGCTCGCGCTCGACCGCTCGGACGCGCTCGATCACACCGCCGCGCTGTTGCTGCTCAAGTTCGAGCAAGAGTGCGACATCAGCGCCGGCGGCGTCGTCGTCGATCGAGACGTCGGGTGGAGGGTGTCGGTCGTCGCCGCCGCGGAGCTGCCCGCGTCCGCGGCGCGGATCACCCCCGCGGAGGGACCCTGCGGACGGGATATAGATCATAAAACGCGTCATCTTCGAGCGTTTTTGCAGCTGCAGAACGACGGCGGCGTGATGGAGGTCTCCGTCAGAGGCGACGCGATGGACGTGACGGCGGCGGCGTCGAGCGACGTCAGGTGCGTTCTGGGTACAAACGTCTTTCACCCATCGCTCGGATTCAATATTTGATCGCGTGGGTCCCTTTCAACTGACCGATGAACGAACTTTTTTTGTATGGAACGGCTCGCAGTCTGCCCGTCGTCTGCGCGCGCGCGAGAGCCATCCCCGCGCCGCCGGCTCCCCACGCGATCGGCTCCTCCCCCTCCGCCCCGCGCGCGCTGCTGATCGGCCTCGACGACGCCACCGGGACGCTGCGATGCGGGAGCCGGGTCGTCGCGAGGGACGTCCGATCGTTCGGCGTGCACTGGACCGCGCCGGGTGGCGGCGTCGCCGGCGGCGACGGCGACGACGACGACGCGGAGGCGTCGTGCTCGTACGCCGCCGCCGCGTACGCCGCGGGGGCGTGGGCGCGCGCGAGAGCCATCCCCGCGCCGCCGGCTCCCCACGCGATCGGCTCCTCCCCCTCCGCCCCGCGCGCGCTGCTGATCGGCCTCGACGACGCCACCGGGACGCTGCGATGCGGGAGCCGGGTCGTCGCGAGGGACGTCCGATCGTTCGGCGTGCACTGGACCGCGCCGGGTGGCGGCGTCGCCGGCGGCGACGGCGACGACGACGACGCGGAGGCGTCGTGCTCGTACGCCGCCGCCGCGTACGCCGCGGGGGCGTGGCTCGAGCGGATGGAGGCGGACGTGGGCGAGGGGGGGTTTGACGCGGAGGACGACTCAAGGCGCGCGGTCCCGAGGGTCGTGTACGTCACGCGAGGGGACGACCTTCGCGTCGCGGAGCTGCGCGAGATGGCGGGGGCGTCGGACGCCGCCGTTCGTCGTTCGGACACACACGTGTCCGACAAAACGGATACTATTGTCGGACATCATGGGACCCACGCGACCGCGGCGGGCGGCAAACGCGGCGCGAGCGTCGGCGTCGGCGGCGGCGTGTGCATGGACCAGCTGCACGTGTCGATGCGCGCGGCGATGCGTCCGGCGGACGCGGGGCGAGGCGCGGATTCGCGCGTGCGACGCGTGGAAGAGGTGAGACTGCTCCCCGTACGACCCCGTTCGCGTGGTGCACGTCGTTCCTTAAGGACTTTTCCCGTCGTCACTCCTTCAGACTGCTCCCCGTGCGACCCGATTCGTCGCGCGGTGTGCGCCGTTCCTCGAGGACGTTAAGGACTTCTTTCTCACTCCCTCGCTCGTCTCGTTTTACCCCGACCCGCGCTGCTGTTCGGTTTCAAGATTGGATCTGATCGCGAAGCCCGTCGACTGACTGATGAATTTTCGTTCGACCATCATCGCCCCAGGGCGCGCGCGTCGTCGCCGCGCCGCCGGGCGCCGCGTCGGTGTTTCTCCAGATGCCGCGGGGCAACCTCGAGTGCGTGACCCCGCGGTTCCTCGCGCTGCCCGCGATCGCGTCCGCGCTGAGGGACGAGCGCTTCGCCGCCGCCGCCGCGCTCGCCGCGCGGCATCGCGTGGACTTGAACCTGCTGGTGGACTACGGCACGTTCTATACACTGGTCCCCATACGACCGCGTTCGCGTGGTGAACGCCGATCCTTAAGGACTTTTCCCGGCGCATCTCTCCGCGCACCCATCGCTTTCAATCCCCGCCCGCGACGCCTTTCAACTCCGCTTCTGACGCCTTTCAACTCCACCCCAGGCTGGCCGAGGATGTTACGCCCGGCGACGGCTCAGAAATTCGTGACGGACGTCGACGACCCGGACGTGATCATGGAGCTCGTGGAGGCGCTGGACGCGCGGGACACGACCGCGCCGGGCGGGGTGTACGCGCACGTGCCGAAGGGAGGGGGAGGGGGTGTCGACGCCGCGACGACGGCGATGGCGAGTCTCGCGGTGCGCGACGGCGGCGACGACGGCGGCGGCGAGAACAAGATCGATAGGGTGTGCGCGGCGATCCGCGCCGCGGTGGAGGCGCGCGCGGCGGCGGCGGCGGCGACGTCGACGACGGCGGGCGATCGAGCGGACGACGCCGCCGAGGCACGCGACGCGGAAGCCGCAGCCGACGACGACGACGACGACGACGCCGACGCCCCGGAGCGGCGTTCGGAGCCTTCGCCTTCGCCTTCCGCCGCGCCCGCGCCCACTTTGCTGCACGACCGATGGGAGCTCGTGATGCTGTCCACGCACGCGCGCTCGGACCCGCCGAACCTCGGCGCCGCGCTCGCTCGCGTCCGCGCGCGCAGAGAGGCGGAGCTCGCGGCGACGCACGCGACGACGACGACGACGACGACGACGACGACGACGCCGAAATCGAAATCGACATCGATCGACTCCGCCGCGGCGCTGAAACACCTCATCGCCCTGACCGGCGGCGACGCGCTGTACGCCGCCGCGCTCGGGACGTACGACCTCTCCATCGCGTACCTCGTCGGTCAGCACGCGTCGATGGACCCCGGGGAGTACGTCGCTGATCTCCGCGCGCTGCAAGACGCGCCGCCAGATCTGCGCAACGCGGAGATCGATCGACGGTTAGGGCGGCACGAGAGCTGCGTGACGCACTTGCTGAAAGGCGGCGACGTGGAGGGCGCGTGCGAGGTCGCCGCGAAGCGGAGGCTCTTCCCGCACGCGCTCGCGACGGCGAAGACCCTCGCTCTCGACGCGGCGACCTCGGCGGCGGAGTTGAAAAAAACATCCGCCACCGCGGACGCGGACGCGGCCGCGCCCTCCTCCGACGACGTCGCGACGCTCGTCGCGAAAGCGTACGCGTCGCAGCTCAGCGACGAGCGCAAGCACGAGGACGCCGCCGTCGCGCTCCTCTCCGTGGGAGACCACGAAGGCGCGTTGCGAGCGTATCGCGACGCGCTCTGCTGGCGCCCCGCGCTCGCGCTCGCGGGCCGCATGGGCCTGTCCAAAAACGCGCGCCGCGACATCGCGGAGGAGCTGTGCGAGGCGCTCTCGAGCTTCGACCCCTCCGCGGCATCGCGCGTCGCGAGCGAGCACCTCGGCGACGTCGATCGCGCGGTGGATTTATGCTGCGCCGCGCGTGAGTGGCGGGAGTCGACGCGTCTCGCGTACGCGAACGATCGCGGCGACCTCGTGGACACCACGGTCGCGTACGCCGCCGCCGAGGCCGCGTCGCAGGCGCTGTCGGACGCGCGCGAGGTCCCGGGCCGCGCGGAGAAGTACCTCGCGCGGTTGAGGGATCTGAAACGTCGCCGCGTGGCGATGGCGGCGGCGACGACCGCCGGCGACGACGAGTGGGACGCGCGACGACCGGGCGGCGGCGGCGGCGGCGACGACGACGACGACGGCGCGTCCGAGGCGCCGTCGCTCGCGTCCGGGATGAGCGCGTACACGGACAGGACCGCGGGCGCGGCGACGGAGACGACCGGGCGTAGCGGCTCGAGCCTCGCGCCGTCGACGCGGGGCGGACGCCGAGGGCACCGGAAAGGCAAGACGCCGAAGCGGAAAAATTCGAAAGGGTTGCGCGCGGGCGGTCCGACGGAGGAGCGCGACCTCGCGACGCATCTTAGTAACGGCGGCGTGGCAACCGTTTTCATCGCCCCGCGCGCCCTGGAAGAGATCGGCGAGCTGTCTGAGCTGTTGATCCTCCTGGGGCACGCGGAGGACGCCGGGACGTTGCAGCGCGCGGTGAGCGCGGCGACGGCGGCGAACGACGACGCAGTCAGGGAGGCGAAACTGCGCCTCTCCGAGCTCGACGCGGAGGCTCTCGCGCGCGGGGAGCTCGCGGACGTCGTCGGCGATGAAGACGCGGCGAGGAAAGAGGCGGCGAAGGCGAAGGCTGCGGAGGGGCCGGCGCAGTGGAAGTGGGCGGTGTTGCGAGGCGGGGAGTGAAAAAACGGCTCAGTTTCGTGCGTTTTGTGGGCAGAAACCCTCTTCCATCCGCGCAGCGCGCCGCCAAAAAAAGCGAACCGCGTTCGTTCACATATCGAAACCTCGCCTGAGAAGAAACCGCAGCGCCGCGTCCGCGCGCCGTAACGCCCACCACGCCACCTCCCTCGCGAGTCAGGAGCTCCACGAGTCAACATCCGCCCATGCTGACGTCTCGCGTCTCCGCCCGCGCGGCCACACCTTCGTCGGCGTCACACTTCCCCCCCACCGTTCGTTCGGATACCCCAACGCGCACTGCACGTATCGACACCCTCCGATCACCTCGTCCACGTCCATGTGCGAGTGCCCGAAGACGTGACAGACGCTCCGAAGCTCCCTCACCTGCGCTCCGAGCTCCTCGCAGCCCATAACCTTGGACAGGCGCGGATGCCCGCGATACAGGCGCGGGTGCGGGATGAAGTGCGAGAAGGACACGACGTCGACGGAGCTCTCCGGGACCGCGGGAGGGACGCCGACGCGATCGAGGACGACGCGTTTCGTCCCAGCCGCGCCGATGCCTGAGCGCGTCGATCGGCAGGCAGGGTCAGTCAGGACAGTCGCGCGTCTGTCGTGTCTTCTGACTACCGTATCGGTCGAACGTCGTTCGTTGAAAGGGAAGCGGGCGCGCGAACGGGGTCGGGTCGCGCGGGAAGTAGTAGCCCTGCTGTAGACTCGTCGTCTCACCTTCGTTGCACCGCAGGAAGAAGTCCGCGATGCCTCTCGCGTGCGAGTTCCGCGGCTCGTTCGCGTACCCGATAGCGGGCGGCCAACAGCATCCGACGTCGAAGTGCTTCTCGCGCGAGGAGAACGTCTCGTCGTCCTCGCGGCCGTGGAACGAGTCCGTCGGATGGTCGCCGCCGTAGAAGGTGGACTTGTACCACGACTGCATCGGGAGGATCAACACGTCGTTCGGTGATTGGTCCGTGCTCGCCGCCGTCGTCGCAGCTGGCACGGTTTCATTGGATGGCGGAGTATTAGATTTCGCTAACGTGTCTTCCTTGGTCCGTCGCCTCGACCCGCCGATCTTCCCGAAGTAGTCCTCCTCCTCCTCGGACTCCGACGACTGAGACGCCTCCGGCGTTTCCTCCTCGAGCGCGCTTTTACCGCCCGCCGCGCCCGGAAGTATCGTCGGCGCGACGCGCACGCCGAGCGACGCGCACACGTCGACGATGTGCCGCAGCTTCCCGATCGAGTTCGCGGGGTGCCCGGCGTGGCTCCAGTCGTTCGGCGGCGCGGGCGACCACAGGTCGTGATTCCCCGGGACGTAAAACACCTCCTCGAACTTTGGGTCGTTCCGTACGAGCGAACGTCGGGGTGGAGTTGAAAGGCGTCAATTGTCTTTGAAAGGCGTCGAGGGCGGGTATTGAAAGCGAGGTGTGGGCGGAGAGAGACGGCGGCGAAAGTCCTTAAGAAACGGCGTTCACCACGCCAACGCGGTCGTATGGGGACCAGTGTGACATAGAACGCACCTTTTCTTTGAACGCTCGCAATGTGGCCGCGATGCAGTCGACCGCGGTCGCGACGTCCCCCGCGACGATCAGCGCGTGCCTCGGCGGGTACCTCGGCAGCCTCTTCGCCCAGCGCATGTTGTCCTTCATGTCCGCGTGGACGTCCGATATCGCGTGCACGGTCCACCTGCCGTCGCGCGAGTATCGATCGGCCGCGAACGAGGACGACGCGAACGAGGGCGGCGGCGGCAGCGCGCGGTTCGGCGGCGGCGCCTTCGCCGCCGCGTCGTTGATCGCGTTCACGATGAGGGAGTAGTACTCCGCGCGCGTCTCCACCGGCGCGGAGGACGCGGCGACGACGGGCGCGGACGCGGACCGGCGCATCGCGCGCGCGTCGCCGTCGTCGGAAGTCGTCGTCGCGGGAGTTGAATCGAATCTCGGAGGCGCCTCCCACGCGAGGGGGGGGGGCACGCAGTGGCGCGGCGCGGCGAGGCGCGGCGACGCGGGGTCTCCTCGCGAGGCGCGACGAAGGGGAGGACGGCGGCGACGACGACGGCGCGGGAGGTCGCGAGCGCGCGGGGGGTGCTGTGGTCGAAGCGACGACGTCGACGACGTCGACGTGACAAGGGAGAGCGAGAGGCGCGAGCGGCCGTTTCGGTGTCAGTTTCTAGGACCGGACGACGAGAAAGAGGCGACACCGCTCAGTGTCATCATTTACAAAACGCATCGTACTGTACCACGCACGACGGACGGTCCTCGAGCGCGCGCCGTCCACCGCCCGCGCGCGCGCCGATCCATCTCCGAAGGGTTGGTCGGTCGGTCGCGCGATATCATAAATCCACCCTCCCGTCCGTCCCTCTCGCCTCGGCGCCGAGGAGATGAGAGAAGACGGAAAAAAAAACCAAAACGCATTCATCCGCTCTCTTCTTCAATTTCTTCTCAGTGCACCGCGTCCACGACGAGCTTCCGCGTCTTCAGCGGCGACCACATCCACCGCTTGTAATACACCGCCTGCGTGAGCACCAACGCGAACATGAACATCACCTTCGCGCCCATGAGCTTCCGGTCGTCCGCCTCAGGGTCGTTCCATACAAAGCGACGAATGTCGGGGTGGAGTTCAAAGGCGTCAGAAGCGGAGTTGAAAGGCGTCGAGGTGTGTCGGGATTGAAAGCGAGGGACCCTGGGCGGAGAGAAAGGACGGCAAAAGTCCTTAAGAAACGGCGTTCACCACGCCAACGCGGTCGTATGGGGACCAGTGTGAATGCGAACGCACCTCCGGCTCCGCGGCCCACGCCAAAAACGTGGTCACGTCCTTCGCCATCTGCGTCTCCGTCGCGGGCGTGCCGTCGTCGTACTCCACGCCGCCGTCCACGAGCATCTTCGGCATCGCGATCGCGCCGCCCGGGAAGTACGGGTTGTAATGCAGCCCCTCGCGGATCTCGATCCCCGCGGGGGCCTCGCGGTACCCGAGGAGAAGAGAGAAGACGTAGTTTTGACCGTCGTGCCGCGCCTTGGTGATGAGCGAAAGGTCGGGCGGGTACGCGCCGTTGTTGGCGTAGCGCGCGCCCTCCTCGTTCGCGTACGGCGCCGGGAAGCTATCTGAGAGCTTCCCGGGGCGGTCGAACATCTCGCCGGTGTCGTCCGGGCCGTCCGTGACCTGGAGAGGGGGGGAGGGGCGAGGGATTGATTTCGTGAGCGGAGGTTTTGGTTTTGGTTTTTTTAACAGGCGAGTCCCGAGTCGAGTCGAGGCGCGCTGCGTGAACCGTGATCGGGGGTTCGTTCGGCCCCGGTTCGAACCGAACGATCTCTCCCAACGGAAAGGGAACAACCCTTCCCACCGTCCGCGATCGAACGGCGCGCGGCGCGATCGGCGGCGCGGGACGCCCCCCCGCGCGTCCGCGCGCGCCGATCGCGCGCCCTCCCGCCGCGGCGAACGATCGCGGCGCCGCGCGCGCGGGGGGAGAGAGAAGCGGGGAAGCGGGGCGACAGAGGCGTCGCGATGTGCCACGCGATCGATGACGTACCTCGATCTCTTCCGCGAGCGCCTTGACCTCCGCCTCGGTGTAGCACACGCCGACGAGGTTGCGATACGCCACGAGATTCAGAGAGTGGCACGCCGCGCAGACTTGCTGGTACACCTGATGCCCGCGGCGGATGGACGCGTGATCGTACGAGTCGAACATCCCCTCGTGCGGCCACGGCATCTGCGGCGAGTGCAGGCCGTGCTCCGCCTCGTCCGTCATCGCGACGGAGGAGAGGCCGAGCAGAGACGCGGACGCGGCCGCCATGGCTGCGAATCCGGAGGGCGCGCGCGGGGCGGCGGCGGGGGCGTCCGCGCGCGCGGCGGAGCGCGCGGCGCGCGACGCGAGCGTCGCCGCGAGTCGTGAGAACATGATCCGAAACGTCCGCGAGACGTCGCGGCGGGGCGCCGGCGGAGTGAAGGGTCGCGCGCGCGATCGCGGGCGGAAAAAACCTCGAGAAGACCAGACGCGCGCTGATTTTTTTTTTGGGATCTCGGCTCGTGGTTCGCTTCCCGAGGAAAAAAGCCACGACGGTCAGAACCTTCCGCGCGCCGGTCGCGTCGACGTCGCGCGGCGATCATGGCGAAGAAGGGACAGAAGGGACCGGGCAAGCCGTTCATCGAGTGGTGCGCGGAGAACGGGAAGCGCGGCGAGAGGCTCGCGAACGAGTTCCGCGAGGAGCTGCCGACGGAGCTGACGAAAGGGTCGCACTACAAGGCGAAGTGGAAGTGTTTGAAGTGCAAGCACGTGTGGCGGGCGCAGGTGTTCCACCGCACGACGAGCGACAAACCCCGCGGGTGCCCGAAGTGCGCGAATCATATGCCGCTGAGCAAGATGAACAACTTCCTCGCGTGGTGCGAGAAGAACGGCGAGCTCGGGAAGAAGCTGTCGCGCGAGTACGTCGATAAGGACAAGCCGCCGACGGCGGTGATGAAAGGGTCGCACTACAAGGTGAAGTGGAAGTGCAGCAGCGTCGAGTGCAAGCACGTGTGGCGGGCGGAGATGTGCCACCGCACGAGGAGCGTCAGACCCAGCGGGTGTCCGGCGTGCCACCCCCCCGGAGAAAACTTACGCAAGAAGCGTAAGCGCGTCGACTGAGGCGAGCGCAGACGACGACGACGACGACGACGACGACGACGACGACGACGACGAACGAACACCACGTACGAATGCATCACGCATCATTCATCACCCTCGCTCACTCTCTATCTCTCGCTCACGCCCGCGTCAGAACCCCCCGCTCGTGTCCAGCAGCCGGTTCCCCTCCGCGCAGCTCGCGCACCACCCGAGCGGGTGCTTCCCCACTTTCGCCAACTCCACCGGGTCCGCCGCCGCCGCCGCGTCGTCGGCCGCCTCTCTCTCCCCCGCCTCGACCGCGTCCCTCGTGCTCGCGCCGCACCGCGGACACACCATCTCCCGCCGCGCCTCCGCAGCCTCGGGCCACGACCCGCCGTTGCCGTAGTTCCTCGCGACGACGCCGTCGCGCACGTCCGCGAGCACCGCCTGGAAGCCTCGCTCTCTCGCCGTCTCCCGCCCACGCTTCAGGGTCGAGGGTCCGTACGAGCGATGATATCGGGGTGGAGTTGAAAGGCGTCAGAAGCGGAGTTGAAAGGCGTCGAGGGCGGGCGTTGAAAGCGAGGGACCCTGGGAGGAGAGACACGCCGGGAGAGAAAGTCCTTAAGGATCGGCGTTCACCACGCCGACGGGGTCGTATGGGGACCAGTGTGAGATAGAACGCGCCTTCACCTTGTCGACGAGCGTCTCGAGGCCGTCCTTGACGCCCTTCTCCTTCTTCGCGCGCTTGATCTCGTTCGCCTTCTTCATCTCCTCGAACGGGTTCCGGAACGGCGCCATCGCGATCGACGGGGTCGAAAGACGCCGCGCGCGGGGCGAGCCGCGTCGCGACGACGTCGCGACGTCGGCATAGGTATTATCATCCCCGGCGTGCGATCCACGACGATACGACAGCGGGGCCGCGACGCCGCGCGTCGTCGCCGTCGTCGTCGCCGCCGCCTTCATCGCGCGCGTTCCGCCGCAGGATGCGGAGGCGCGCGTCGTCGTCGTCGGCGGCGGCGGCGTCATCGCGTTTCCGAGACCGCGGGGTGCACGCGCCGGCGAGGAGGTCGCGCGATGCCAAGTGGCAGCCCAGGCGGAAACAAGATCCGGGACGTTGAAAAGGAAAAGCCGCGGCCAGAGCCAGATCCTCCAAACGTCGCCCGCGCGATCACCATGCCGCGCCCGACGCCGCCCCCCCAAACGCGCGGCGCCGGCGCGCCGCGCCGCCTCGCGATCCTCCTCCTCTCCCTCCTCGCGCTCGCCGCGCTCGCGCCGACGCCCGCGCGCGCCAAGGTGGAGACGGGCACGCTCAAGCTCGACTCCGTGACGACGGAGCACACCATCGCGAAGTTTGGCACCGGCAACGACGGCCCGGGCGAGCTCGTCCTCAAGCTCACGACGGCGAAGCGCGGGTGGGAGCGCGGGACGCACCAGCTGCGTTTGATGCTGTTCAAGAACCGCAAGTACGCCAAGTGGAAGGCGGCGATCGCGAAGGGATCGCTGTGCGACGTCCGCAACAGGCTCGCGGACGTGACCAAAGTTGTCGACCTGCCGCATCCGCTCGCGACGCACAGCGGGCACGGGTTCGAGTACTTCGAGGACCCGGAGACGGGGCGGTCGTACCGCGTGAACAAGGACAATCCGGAGGACGTGGAGTGGAGGGACCCGAACAACCACACGGAGGGGCCGCTCGATCGCGTGATCCATCGAGAGACGGAGGCGCGTTCAATGTCATCACACTGGTCCCCATACGACCGCGTTCGCGTGGTGAACGCCGATCCTTAAGGACTCTGCCCGGCGCATCTCTCCGCCCAGGGTCCCTCGCTTTCAATCCCGACGCACCTCGACACCTCCTTTCAACTCCGCTTCTGACGCCTTTCAACTCCACCCCGACGTTCAATAGATTCGAGTCGAGCTGCGGCACTTCAAGCGTCAATCGCGCAAGGCTCGGCGACGCGGCGACCCGAGAGAGGACAAAGCCACGCACTGGTTCGCGGTGATCTCCGACTGCGCGATGGAGAACTACGACGCGCACCCGCCGCCGATGCACTACGAGCTGAACATGTTCGCCGCGGACGGCAATCACCTCCCCGCCGACATCTTGGGCGCGTCCACGTGATTTGATTCACGCCGGTTCCCGTACGACCGCGTTCGCGTCGTGAACTTCATTCCTTGAGGACTTTTGCAGTCGTTCTGTTTCTCTCCGCACACCACCCCACGGTTAATCCCAATCCCGACACACCTCGTCGCCTTTCAACTCCGCTTCTGACGCGCCTTTCAAACTCCCTCCACCCCGACTTGTTCGCTTTCAAAGGCATGGGCAAGCTCTACTGGCTCATCTTCCTCGCGCTCGCGGGCGCCGCGCCCGGCGGGCTGTGGCTCGCGTCCAACCAGTACCGCCGGCTCGGGCGCGTGCATATCCTGACCGTCATGGTCTTCGCCGCGTACGGCCTGCAGACGACCAGCGTCGCGCTCGAGCTGATGCATCTGGGCGTGTACTCGAAAGACGGGAAGGGGTTGCAGTGGCGGCACACGTTTTTCGCCGCCGACTTCGCCGCGGAGACGATGCAGGCGCGTTCTATCTCACACTGGTCCCCATACGACCGCGTCGGCGTCGTGAACGCCGTTCCTTGAGGACTTTTCCCGTCGTCTCTCTCCGCCCAGGGTCCCTCGGTTTCAATCCCCGACCTCGACGCCTTTCAACTCCATCTGACGCCTTTCAACTCCACCCCCGCAGGGCGCGTCGGAGCTGATCACGTCGCTGACGCTGCTGTTCCTCGCGTGCGGGTGGACGACGGTGACGGTCGGGTCTGTGACGAGTCGGCTCGTGGGGAGCTTGGAGAGCGGCGTCGGCGGCGCGAACGCGGCGACGGCGGCGGCGGCGGCGGCGGGCGGCGCCGCCGGACTCAAGGCGCTCTCGGGGAAGAGAGGCGGCGGCGCCGAGCTCGGGAAGAAGCTCCGGAAGGACGTCCCGGAGGTGGCCGCCGCGGTCGTCAAGGGGATTTTCACGGACGGCGACGGGCCGGAGGTGAAGCGTCGCGTCGGCGCCGTCGCGGGCGCGCTGCGAGAGCCCGCGCGACTCGTCGGCGTGACGGGTCGCGCGCCCGGTCGCTCGTGGCGCCAGTCGCTGGACGCGAGCTCGTTCGCGATGTTCCTCTTCGTGTTTATCCACATGTACCTCGAGATCGCGTCTCGGAGGTTCACGGACGACTTCTCCGCGTTCCACGACCACGCGCACTGGCCCGGGTACTGCTTAGTGCTCCTGCGTCTGTGCGTCGCGGCGGTGTTTTACGTCGGCGGCAGGAGCGCGTCTCGGCTCGCGGAGAGCCAGGACCGGTCGACGGCGAAGTTTTTGAAACGCCTGGACGTCGTCGGTTTAACGTGGCTCCTCGCGTTCCCGTTCCTCGTGTGCACGGCGTGGATCTTGACGCCGATGACGCGGCACCGGTACGTCGTCGGCGGCGTCGCGTTGTTGCAGTGCGCGTCGTCGCTGGGGCTGGGGTGGCTCGTACTCGCGTCGGAGAAGTTTCTGTCGCTCAGCACGGTGGCGCCGCGGTCGTCGAGCGCGGCGAACGTGCTGGGCGCGCGGGGGTTCGCGGCGAAGCTCGCGGTGGATTAAGATTAAGCGATTAAGCGCGCGATCGATCGATGAGAGAGCGTTTGTAACGAACGGGCGAGGACGACGATCCTCGAACGAACGAATGAAATCAAATCAAATCAAATCGTCGTCGTCGCGAACGAACGCGGTCAGTCCACCTCGGCGTCGAGGCCGAACCTCCCGACGACGACCGTGAAATCCTGCTGCTCGCCCTCGCGCAGGTACGTCACCTGCGTCGACGCGTCACCGTCGCCGGCGCCCGCGCCCGCGCCCCCTCCGTCTCCGGCCTTCTTCTTCTTCCTCCTTTTTCTCTCCGCCGCCGCCGCCGCCGCGTCCGCGTCCGCGTCGGCGTCCTCCTCCTCCTCCTCCTCCTCCTCCTCCTCGGCACCCTCCTCCTCCTCGGCACCCTCCTCCGCCACGACTTCCTCCGCCATCTTCGTCACCATCCTCACGAACGTGTACGTCCCCTCCATCGTCCCGCACGGCGTACGCATCGGACACGCGCTCGCGTATTCGAACGTCTGACCCGGGAGTTGAAAGGCGTCAGAAGCGGAGTTGAAAGGCGTCGATGGCGGGGATTGAAACCGAGGGATGGGCGGAGAGATGCGCCGGCAAAAGTCCTTGAGGATCGGCGTTCACCACGCCAACTCGGTCGTATGGGAACCAGTGTATAGAACGCACCTGACCCGGGAGCAACACCGGCTGCTCGCCGATGACGCCGGGGCCCTTCACCTCGTCCACGTGCCCGTCGTCGTCCTTGATGATCCAGTGGCGGTCGCGCAGCTGCACGATCTCGCTCGACGTGTTGGTTATCCGCACCGAGTACGCGAAGAAGTACTGGTTCGAGGACGGGTCGGAGCGCGACGCGACGTACTGCGAGTGCACGCGGACGTTGACGCCCTCGGTGGTCTCGTCGCTCTCGCACGGCACTGGGGGTTTCCGTCGCGGCGGTTTCGGCGCGGGCGGCGGCGTCAGCGCCGCGATCTCGTCCCTGTGCTTCGCCGCGTCCTCGTAGCGCTCTTCCTCGATCGCGGCGTTCATCTTGAGCGTCGCGACGAACAGCGGGTCGGCGTTCTGGAGCTCGGTCAGCTCGTCGCGGAGCTTCGACGCGGTCTCGAAATCCTCCGCGGCGACCGCGGCGTCCATGCGCTCTCGCACGTCGTTCCGCGCCTCGAGCGAGATCTGAAGTTTCGCGCGCGCCTCCACGTTCGCGGCCTCGTCGTCGGGCGACGGCGCCGCCGGGGAGGAGGAGGAGAAGGAGGAGGAGGAGGGATCGCCCGGCGCCTTGGACGACTTGGACGACGCCTTCTTCGCGTCGCTCTTTGGGTTTTCCGGGTTGTCCGCGGGCAATCCCGAGGGGGACACCGCGCGCGTCTTGACGCGCGCGCCGCGCCGCGTCGTCGCGCCGCGGCGCGAGCGGTCCGCGGCGACGCGGCCGCGCGTCGCGGGGGTGACCCACCGTGCGACGGCGACGGTGGTCATCGTCGGTCGTCGCGGGAGGGGGCGCGCGTGATGCAATGCCCCCACGGCCGCGTCGAAAAGCGCGCACTCGTCGCATTCTGTTTCGTGGCTCGAACGAGATTAAAAGTGTTTCACCCATCCATCGGTTTCAACACTTGATCGCGTCCCATTTCAACTGACCGATGAACTTTTTTTGGTCCTGAATCGCTCCGAGATTCGGTTGGCAATCTGCCTCGTCAGCTCTGCCGCTGCCGAACCGCGCGCGCTCGGAAGGCGCATTGCGCTCGGCGCGGTCTCTCGCGTCCGCGCGCCCCCGACGGGATGACGTCCATCGCGACCTCGCGCGTCGTCGCGCCGGTCGGTCGCGGCCGCGTCGGCGACCGCGCGCGGCGCGCGCGCGCGCCGCGCGCGGCCGTCGCGAACGCCGCGCGCGGCCGAGACGCGGCGGCAGCCGCGACGACGACGTTTTCGTCGTCGTCGTCGTCGTCCGCGATCATCGCCGTCCGCGGCGACGTCGCGACGAGCGCCGTGAACCGCCGCGAGGCGACCCTCGCGACCGCGGCGACGATGGCCGCCCTCTTCGCTCCCGAGCCCGCGGTGCGCGCGCTTTCGACGCCATCGCGTCTCGACCCCGCGGCGTCGTCCCGCGCGCGCGTCGCGTCGCGTCGACACAGAGACCGCAGCGCATCTCAGCTGACAAAAACAATCCAAAATAATGTATTCACCCCGCTCCCTTCTCCCTCCTCTTCGCAGCTCGCGACCCCCCCGCGCCAGACTATGCAAGTCCCGGAGTCGGACTACAAGCCCATCCCCGGCACGAACCCGCCGATCATGTACGCGGACGTCAAGGGCGGGAGCGGATCGGAGGGCGGCGTCAAGCCCGGTCAGGCGCGTCCCATCTCACGCCGGTTCCCATCCGACCGCGTAGGCGTGGTGAACGCCGATCCTTTAGGCCTTTTGCCGGCGTGTCTCTCCGCCCAGCTCTCGATGGTTTCAATCCCCGACCTCGACGCCTTTCAACTCCGCTTCTGACGCCTTTCAACTCCCCCCCGATATCATCGCTCGCATGGAACGGCCCGGTCAGCGCGTCGCCGTCCACTTCGACGTCAAGTTTCGAAGGCTCACCATCGCGACGTCGCGGCAGGGCGCGGGCGTCACGGGGGGCACGCCGTACGGGTTCACGGTCGGCACGCCCGCGGGGACACCGGGCGGGCCGTTCATCAAAGCCCTGAACGAGGGGATCAAGGGCATGGGCCCGGGGCAGTTTCGGAGGCTCATAGTGCCGCCCGAGTACGCGTACGGGAACCAGCAGGTGCGTTCTGTACAAACGTTTTTCACCCACCGCTCGGTTTCAACATTTAAACGCATGGGTCCCTTTCAACTGACCGGTGAACCGTTTTTGTATGGAACGACCCTGTCATCAGGTGCAAGAGATTCCCCCGAACGCGACGCTGACTATCGACTTGGAGCTTCTCAGCATCGCCGCGAGGGCGTGAGCGAGCGAGGCGCGCGAGGGAGGAGGAGGGAACGCGCGGCGCGACGCGCGCGCTCGTGTGATATGATACGTTATGATGAGGTTAAGATCACCGTACTGTACGTATGTCGTCAGTCAATGCGTTTCTTTTCATTCTCAAGTTCAGCTACGCCTTTCTCTTCATAGCTAGAAGGGTCTCGTCAGAATTGGTTGCCTAAGACGCGCGCTCGCTCTGGCGATCGCGCGCGTCTGATAATCATCTCCGTCTACAGGGGCCCGCCCGTCCGTCGTCGCCAGCCGTGGGCCAGTCCCCCTATCTCCTCTCTTCTCTTCCGTCTCTCCTCTCCTCTCTATCATTTTCATTTCAAACAATCATGCATTTTCGCCAGAATTCATTCGCTCCGCCCGCCCGGCCGCCTCACTTCTTCCCGCCCGCCGCCCTCGTGACGATGTCGTTCACGAAGGCGTCCGAGAACTTCTTATCCCGCGTGAAATCGCGCATGTGCAGGATCGGCACGCACCCGCGCGCGGCGACGGACTTCTCCCCTTCTTTGGCGGCGGCGTACTTTTTCGGCTCCATCGGCGCGAGCGTCGCGGCGCCCCCCTCCGTCCCCACGCGCGCGCACACTCGCATCAGCGCGTCCAGGGAGTTCATCTTCATGTACGGGCACGACGCGCAGCCGCCCTCGCTGGAGCACCCCTCGCCGCCGGCGGGACCGGGGACGACGGCGAGCCCGCCGATGGACGGCGCTTGCGTCTCGCCCGTCGCGGTCACCGCGTCGGCGGAGACGGGGAAGACGATCTCGCACTCGACGTCCGGGACGCCGTCCGCCTTGGCCTTTTTCAGCCGCGCTTGCGCCGCGCGCACGATGGACGTGACCATACCGGTCTCGGTGCCCAGTACGAAAGATAAACGCTCGCCGTTGGGGTGTTTTCGCGCGATCGCGTCGTCCACGCGGTCGACGACGAAATCCAAGATGTTCTTCGTCGAGCCCACCACGCCCATGTCGCGCTCGCGCTTCGCCTCCATCGCGAGCTTGAACATCTCCCCGGGCACCTCGAAGTGCGCCGTCTGGTACGCGTCGCCGTAAAACTTCCGCACCGTGTCGCACACGTCCCCGCCGAACATGTGGTGCACCATGCACGTGCCGTCCTGGAAGTACCGCAGCCGCGGCAGCAGCGCTTTGATCGTCGCGCGCGAGTGCGCGGGATGCACCGCGGCTACCTCCTCATCCGTCCACGTCGACATCATGGTGAACAACTCCGCGAGGTTCCCGCCCATGTACGTGTCCGGGCCGTAGAAGATGTTCACGCCGGGAACCTGCGCGGCGGCCTGAAGCACCGTCTGCACGACGTTACTGGACGTGCACGTCACCGTGGGCACGATGGCGTCCGCGTTCGCTTTTGTGTCCAACGCGGTGTTGATGTAGATGACGTGCACCGCGTTCTCCACGCCGTCGGCGGCGGCGAGGTACTCGTAGTACGCGTCCGACTGCGCCGCCTCCGCCAGCGAGCACCCGATGTCCTCCGCGGCCATGCGGTACACCTTCGCGTCCGCGTGCCCGGCGTCGTCGAGGATCGCTCGGACGTTTTCCGACATGAAGTCGACGCCGAGGACGCAGACGGCGTCGCAGCCGGCTTCCACCATCTTAACCGCGGCGTCCGCCATGACGAGCGAATCGGAGATGAACACGTGTTCGTACTCTTTCGCGGCGGCCATCAGCACGCCTTGGACCTGCGGGTCCATGTAGAAGTGCGCGACGACGCCGATCTTTTTAGCCTTCAGCTCCTTCACGAGCGCCGCGACCGCCTCGGCGTCGGGTTCGAGGTAATTCGCCTGCGCCTCCGCGAACGGCCCTCGCGCTTCGATGCCGTCCGCGGTGACGAGCAGCGACGGGAACGGCATCGCGTCTCGCCCGTCCCTCAGCAGTCGCGTCTGTTTCTTCACCGACTCGAGCATGTTGCGAAACCCGTTGGCGCGAGACCGCGGCAGCGCGGAGGCGCCCAGACCGAGGTCCTTCACGACGTCGTCGTCCACGCCGAGGACGTCCTCGGGGGAGAGCCCGCCGAGGCCCGCCGCGAGGACGCCCGCGAACCCGGTCGTGATCTGCGCGTCGCTGTGTCCGCGGAGGAGGACTTTGCCGTCCGCGTCGAGCGAGACGTCGATCCACGCTTGCGACGTGCAGCCCATGACGCGGTTCGACGGCGCGCGGTCCGACTCCGGGAGCGCGGGGAGGTCGCCGCCGCGGGCGATGAGCGCCTTGAGCTTCTCGGAGACGTCCTTCTCCGCGGCGACGGCGCCGGCGACGGATCGTAGCTTTTCGTTCCCCAGATTATTCGCGGCGGATCGCTCCGTGGAGACGGCGCGGATCGCGCGATCGACGTTCCGCCGCGCGACGCGCTTGGCGACGACGCGCGCGCGGAGCCCCGCGATCGGGGCGGAGGACATCGCGCTCGAGGATTGCATGTCGGGTACCACGGGTGGCTCCGGGTGGGCGGCGCGCAGTGGGTGACGTCGGCACGTCGCCGCCGCTTTAAAACGAAAAAGCGAACTCGACGCCGCCACGTGTTTCATCCACCGCTCAGTTTCAACATTTGATCGCGCCCCCTTTCAACTGACCGGTAACCGGTGAACTTTTTTTGTAGGAACGCCTCAAAAAAACCCGATTACCCGAACCACGTCGTCGCGGCGCGGCGCACTTCGTCGGCCGTCGCCCGCGGCCGTCCGAAGATGGCGTCCTCGTTCGATGAGATCTTCTCCCGACCGCACCACGAGTTTGAATGGAAGGAGAACGTCACGCCGCTCGCGAGCGCGCGCGTCGTCGCGTGCGTCGTCGTCGCCTACGTCCTCGCCGCGATCTGGCTGAAGCGATCGATGCGCGGGCGCAAAATCAAATCGCTGTGGGTGATCCCTTCCGCGCACAACGCGATCTTATGCTTCTGGAGCCTCGCCATGTTCATCGGGACGGCGGTCGCGATGAAGAAAGAGCTGATCAAGCGTAAGGGCGACGCCGATTGGATGCTGTGCTTCGACCCGCGGACGTACAAGAGCGCCAAGGGGTCGCTGTTCTACTGGAGCTACGTCTATTACTTAAGCAAATTCTACGAGCTCCTGGACACCGCGCTCCTCGTCTTGAAAGGCCGCCCGCTGACGTTCCTGCACGTGTTTCACCACGCGCTCGTGCTCGTGATGACATACCTCTGGCTCTCGAGCGTGCAGAGCCTCCAGCACGTCGCGCTGTTGACGAACACCGCGATCCACGTCGTGATGTACGCCTACTACTTCCTCACGACGCTCGGGTGCGTTCTATTACCACACTGGTCCCCATACGACCGCGTTGGCGTGGTGAACGCCGATCCTTAAGGACTTCGCCCGGCGCATCTCTACGCCCACCCCTCGGTTTCAATCCCGACACACCTCGACGCCTTTCAACTCCACCCCTGACGCCTTTCAACTCCAACCCGATATCACCGCTCGTATAGATTTCGCCCGCGGTGGAAGGCGCTGCTCACCAGGGCGCAGATCGTTCAGTTCGTCTTCTCGTTCGCGTGCTCCGTGCCGTTCGTCAGGATGCATCGCGCGTCGAAGCGCGGGTGCCGCGGGTACGACGCGTGGTGCTTCAACGCGTTCTTCAACGCCGCGTTGCTCGCGTTGTTTATTCAATTTTCGAGAAGGACGTATCGTACTAATAATAAGGACGCCGCGGGGGGGAAGAAGACGCGCGCCGGGGGGGCGACGGGCGACGGGGGGCGGGGGGAGTGGGGCGCGATCGCGGCCGCGGCCGCGGCACCGACGGCGTCCGGGTCCGGGTCCTCCGCGAGGCGCCGGCGGTGACGCGAGGGATGTCGCGTTCGGCGGGCGGGGCGGTCAATATATGTAGTACCTTCGGTATGTTTCAATTTTTTAGGGATCGCGTCGCGCGTATCGTACGTATACGCGCCGTCGCTCGCTCGCGCCGTCCATCAGATCAGTCGACGTACATCTGCTTCTTCGTGACGTCTCGGATGTCCTTGCTGTACTCCGCGTTCCGCGTGAACGGGTTCCCGTGCGCTCCCGTCCAGTCCCTCGTCCCGAAAAAGTTATCGTTTGGGTACGCGCCCTTCTCGTGCTTTTGCGCGTAGATGGAGTGCGGCAACGACGGCACGTACGCGTGCCCGCCGCCCCCCGGCGCGCGCTTCGATCGAATCGCGTCGATCTGCGACTTGTCGCAGTACCCCGCCTCCGCGCGGAAGTCGTTATCGCACGCCTCCGGCGGTATCGGCGTCATGTCCTGCGTGTACATCACGCGCGCGCCGATCTTCGCGCCCGCGAGATCGTGCTCCACGAAGCTCGCGGCGCACGTCGTCGCCTCGAACGCGGCGTTGAAGTCGTGCGTCTTCGTCTCCGGCGCGTCCTCCTCCGCGTACGTCCGCGCGGCCTCCTCCTCCATCGCGGCGAGCGCCGCGGCGGTCCTCGCGCCGTGGTGGCCCGTCGTCTGAGGGCCGTTCCATACAAGCGATGATGTCGGGGTGGAGTTCAAAGGCGTCAGATGGGAGTTGAAAGGCGTCGCGGTGTGTCGGGATTGAAAGCGAGGGGTGGGCGGAGAGAAAGGACGGCAAAAGTCCTCAAGGATCGGCGTTCACCACGCCGACGCGGTCGTATGGGGACCAGTGTATCGAACGCGCCTGGACGTACGAGCGCAATTTTTCGTCGCGCGCCGAGGGCGGTTGGAACTGCCGCCGCGAGCTCGCGCGCCAGTCCGCGCTCTCCAGGCGGGCGGAGTGCGCGACGACGCGCGGGTGCGTCTCGAACGGCGCGCGCGTCGCGGTCTTCGCGTACACGGAGTCGTCCGTCGGGTCGTCCTTCGGGACCCATCCCTGGCGACAAGTGGGGAGGAGGACGGAGGGAGGAGGGATTGAATTATTTATCGGAAGAACTCTATTTTTCAACGAATGCGTTGGGACCCCTCCTGTCGCGGACGACGACCGACGCGACGCCGACGAGACGCGAGCGCGAGCGCGATCGAACCGCGCCGCACCTCGTATCGAAATATCCCCGTGTCCGCCTCGAGCGCGCGCTCCTCGACCCAGTTCCCCACGAGCGTCCCGCGGAGCGCGTTCTTGTTGTACCCGGCGTGCGGGTTGCCGTCGCGAACCATCGCTGGTGGTGCCCCTCTTCAGTTCCTCTTCTAATCTAAAACGAGCGGCGACGACGACGACGACGGCGACGCGCGAGGTTCGCTTCGCGCGCGACGCCGCCCCCTCGGTCGCGGTCGCGACGCGCGCTCGAGCGCGGCGGCGGAGGCGAAGGCGGACGGTGGACGAGCGCGAGCGCGAGGCGTGGGGCGCCCGGCGCGACTGCCGGGGAAGTCGCGACGGAAGTGGACGAAATAGTCGAGGACTCGAGGTCGAGTTCTTTACAAAAGTTTTTCACCCACCGCTCGGTTTCAACATTTGATCGTGTCTCCTTTCAACTGACCGGTGAACTATTTTTGTATGGAAGGCCCTCAGGCATTCTACGATCAACTGAACCGCGCGCTATCAAAATTTTTATTTCTCTCCGCCGCCCGTCGGTGGGGCTTTCCACCACGCCGCCGCCGCCGCGGGCTTCTCCTCCTCCCCCTCCTCCGAGACTTTCGCATCCTCCCCACCCCCGCCCTTCACGCCGCCGACGCCCGCCGTCCCGCCGCCGCCGCCCGCCGTCCCGCCGCCGCCGCCCGGCGCCGCCGCCGAAAGATCTCTCCTCCGCGCCTCCGCCGCCAGACGCGCCGACTTTTTCAAATCCCACCGCCGCGCCCGCCGCTCTGACTTCGCCGTCCCGGGCTCCAGCACCGGGCCCTCGACGACGACGTTCTGGATGGTCTCGCGGACCGTCAGGATCTTGAACGGCAACAAAACGCCCACCGGCGGGACGTTTTTTCCCTCGTAGACGCGAACGCTCTGCTGCGGAAGAAACGCGACGTGGCCTGCGCGCGCGAAGCGACGACGTCGGGGCGGAGTTGAAAGGCGTCACGGACGGAGTTGAAAGGCGTCATAGGGTCGGGGATTGAAACCAGCGAGGGACCCTGCGCGGAGAGTGACGACCGCCGGGAAGGAAAGTCCTTAAGGAATGAAGTTCACAACGCGAACGGAGTCGTATGGGGACCAGTGCGAGGAATACGCACCCGCGATGCCGACGGCGTACCCGCCGCCGACGGCGTTCAACACGCGTCCGCGCACGATCCCGCCGCGCTGATACGCCCTCCGAATCTCCTCCCACACGTGCGCGTCGCGCTCCGCCTTGACGCGCTCGCGGTTGCTCAGCTCGAGCTCGCCCATGGGGTTCTCGATGGCGCGCACCATGAGGTGGAGCTTGGGGTCGTTCCATACAAGCGAACGTCGGGGTGGAGTTCAAAGGCGTCAGGTGGAGTTGAAAGGCGCCGATGGCGGGGATTGAAAGCGAGGGACCCTGGGCGGAGAGAGACGCCGGGAAAAGTCCTTAAGGATCGGCGTCCACCACGCGAACGCGGTCGTATGGGAACCAGTGTATAGAACGCGCCTTAGAGCCGACGGATGGTAGGGGCTCCGCCGCGAGCTTCGTCAAACCGCGCTGGAGCTCCCTCGCGTGGAAGCTCACGTCGCTGTGGACGTCGCGATGGACGGACGGGGGAAGGGGGGTGGTGGCGTGAGATGGGGTTGGCTGGCGCGGGATCGGATCGGCGGCGAGCGAGAGAGGCGAGTCCTTAAGGATCGGCGTCCACCACGCGAACGCGGTCGTATGGGGACCAGTGTATAGAACGAGCGAACGATCGAACGATCGATCGTTCGAGCGGATTTATTTAGGTTTTCTTCTCGGCGTTCTCGGTCGTCGCGTCGCGCGCGACGGCGGCGGTCGGCGGCGGCGCGTCGCGTGAAGGCGAAGGGAGGCGCGCGCGACGCGCGAGGAGAGCCCCCGGCGAGCTCATCCGACGCGCCTCTTGTGCCCGGTGCTGACGTGGAAGAAGTCGTTCTCGTCCTTCCGCGCGACGCGCCCGACGACAACCTTCCGTCCGAGGCGAGGGAAGCCGACGTTCCATCGCCGCAGCGCCTGCCGCGCGGCGCCGTGGACGGCGTTGTACGTCAGGTTCGCGAAGGTCTTCGCCTTCCCCATGGCGCCCGCGCGCGCGGCGTCGTCGTCGTCCGCCTCGGATCGTCGGCGCGTCCTCTCGCGCCGAACCGATCTGAGGAGGCGCGCGGTGGGATCGAGCTTCTCTGCTTACGTTCGACGTCAGCTATCAGCGTCGTCGTCGTCGTCGTTTCGACGACGCGTCGCCAACGCGCGATTTCATTCATTTCATTCCGCGCGCCGCACGTCGGTCATCACGATGCACGCCGCGCGCGCGGCGTCGTCCGCGCTCGCGCGCGCGGCGTCGTCGGTCGGCGCGAGGACGCGCGGGGACGCGGCCCGCGTCCGGTCGTCGCGCGACGCGTCCACGTCGGCGCGCGTCGCGCGAGGGAGGGCACATCACTCTCCCCTCTCGCTCTCGTCGTCGCGGCGCGCCTCGTCGTCGTCCTCCTCCTCCTCGTCCTTCGTCCCCCGCGCGGCGCGGAAGAAGAAGGACGCGCCGCCGCCGCCGCCGGTCGCGAGCGCGGACGACGACTGGCCGGACGCGGACAAGTGGAACAACTCGCACCCGTCGTACATGCAGCATCAGGGCACGTCGATGGACGGCGACGACGACGACGACGACGACGCGTTTTGCGACAGCTTCGAGGACGATTCTTCATCCTCCGCCGCCGCCGTCGCGCGACGATCGGACGTCGCGCTCGACGAGGTCGTCGGCGCGGCCGCGAACGCGCGCGCGAAGCGCGGCGCCGTCGCGCTCGCGGAGGAGGAGAAAGCGGACGCGGCGGACGCGGCGGACGGCGAAGGAGGAGGATCGAGAACGAGCGGGGGGGCGTCTTCGGGGAATAAGGTGCGTTCTATACACTGGTCCCCATACGACCGCGTTCGCGTGGTGAACGCCGATCCTTAAGGACTTTGCCCGTCGCATCTCTCCGCCCACCCCACGCTTTCAATCCCCGCCCTCGGCGCCTTTCAACTCCAACTGACGCCTTTCAACTCCACCCCGACGTTCGCTTGTATAGAACGGCCCTAAAAAGACGACGACGACGAGGAAAAAACGCGCCGCCGCCGCAGCTGCAGCCGCCGCCGCGCGAACGAAGGACCCTACCACGCTCATCGACGGCGCGCGCGACTCCAGGTACGAGTGGAGGAGCAAAACGGGCGACCCGACGTGGGAGAAGATCCGCGCGACCGCGAGGCTGGACGCGGAGTCGGAGCCGCTCCTGTCGTCGTACATGTACATGACGGTTTTGTCGCACGAGACTTTGGAGCAGGCGCTGTCCTTCGTCCTCGTGAGTGCTATGCCGTGCCCACACGATATCCTCTTCGCGTTTTGAACGTCGTTCGTTTCTCGAGGACTTTGGACTTTCTCTGCCTCGCTTTAAACGCAACGCTACGCTCGACCACTGACCGTTATTTACTTTTTCCTCCCTCCGTCGCGTCGCGTCGCGTCGCGTCGCAGGCGAATCGACTCGCGGACTCGACGTTGCTCACGACGCAGCTGATGGAAATCTTCAACAGCGTCCTCTTCGCGGACGACAAGGAGGGCGTCTTCGTGCGCGCCGCGATCCGGCGCGACATCGAGGCGGTGAACGAGCGCGACCCCGCGTGCGAGAGCTACGTCCACGCGCTGCTCTACCTCAAGGGGTTCCACGCCCTCGAGGCGCACCGCATTCAGCACACGCTGTGGAACCGCGGCCAAAAGTTGCTGGCTCTGACGCTGCAGGCGAGGATATCCACGGTGTTCGCGCTCGACCTGCACCCCGCGGCGAGGCTGGGGAAGGGCATCCTGATCGATCACGGCACCGGGGTGGTGATCGGCGAGACCGCGGTCGTGGGCGACAACGTGTCGATCCTGCAGGGCGTTACGTTGGGAGGCACCGGGAAGGAGGCGGGCGACCGGCATCCGAAGGCGCGCGATTCGATTCGATTTTTGACACCGCGTGCTTCTCTCCCCGTCGCCCTCTGTCGTTCTCCAACGAAACAACGTCCACGTCATCAAATAACTAACCAATAACACCACTTCAAAATGCCACGTCGCCCACCAATCAAACGACTTTCATCAGATCGGAAAGGGCGTCCTCATCGGCGCGCACAGCACGGTCCTCGGTAACATCGTCGTCGGCAAGGGCGCGATGATCGCCGCGGGGAGTCTGGTGCTGAAGCCCGTTGCCGACCACATCATGGTCGCGGGGTCGCCCGCGAAGCCGGTCGGGATGGCGAGGACGCGCGCGCCCGCGCTCGCGATGGCGCAGGAGCTTCGAGAGACGCCGACGCCGCCGACGTTTTGCGACGACCTGGAGGTGCGTTCTATACACTGGTCCCCATACGACCGCGTTGGCGTAGTGAACGCCGATCCTTAAGGACTTTGCCCGGCGTTTTTCTCCGCCCACCCCTCGCTTTCAATCCCCGCCCTCGGCGCCTTTCAACTCCAACTGACGCCTTTCAACTCCACCCCGACGTTCGCTCGTATGGAACGACCTGGAGGACGCGATCCGCGCGCAGGCGAAGAAGAAAGCGAAGGAGAAGAGCACGCGGGTGTCCATCTTCGAGGCGGACGACGCGGGGTGTTTGGTCGAGAGCGTTCGAGTGGACGACGTTCGAGGGTGCGTCGCGGGCGAGGAGGCCGCGGGGGAGGGGGAGGAGGTGGAGGAGGAGACGTCTGCGCCGCCGTGGTCGCGACCGCGAGCGGAGGACGACGGTGCGTCGATGCCGAGCGGCGGGCGCGCGGGGCGGACGCGACCGGGGGGCGTGTTCGCGGACGACATGCCGGACGACGAGTGGTTCAGCATCTGAGAGAGAGAGGGGGTGGCGCGCGATGAGGTCGCGGCGCGGTGAGGTCGCCGCGAGGTGGTAAGTTATTTTAACGAAAAAAGCAAAAGCGCGGAATTGCGACCGACCGCGAGATCCGGCCGTACGAGTACGCGTACGCGCCGTCGTGACTGTTTCTCCGTACACGATCCGCGAGGCGACGACGTCTACGTCTTATCCACCACGAAATCTCGTCGCGGCGCCGATAAAGCGTGCGCCGTTCGTCGCGGACGCGCGCATCCCTCCCCTCGCGGCGCCGCGCTGCCCGACGCACGTCGCGCGCGCATCTCGCATCGAGGCACACAGAGGTCGTCTCGACACGCGCACCACCATGGCGGGCGTCGCGACCGCCGTAGCAGCGCGATCGAGCGCGGTCGCGACGGCGCGAGCGCGCGTCGTCCGCGCGAGATTCGCGCGAGAAGACGTCGGCGTCGCGCGGCGGCGTCGATCGCCCGACCTCCCCGGCGCCACCCCCTCGCGCGTCCCTCGCCGTCGCGCGCGCGTCCGCGTCCGCGTGCGCGACGCCGACCTCTCCGCGAAGAGCCCGTCCTCCTCGCTCGACACCGAGTTCGACGTCCCGAACGCCGACGACGCGTCGGACCCGGACGCGCCGGGTAAGTACGACTCGTCGTCGCTGCCGGCGTCGTTTTGCATCATCGAGGGCGGGCAGAACCAAGTCCGCGACTTCGCGGACATGATCCCGTCGGAGCTGATGAACAACATCGAGTCGCGGAAGCAGAGGGTGTTCATCATGCTGGAGGAGGTGCGGCGGCTGCGCGTGCAGCTGCAGCTGCGGACGAGAGACGCGGAGGAGCCGCCGCCGCCGCCGCGCGAGTACGAATCCGTCGTCCCGGGCTTTCCGCGCATCACGGAGAACAACTACAACGACTACTACATCTACTGGTCCGCGGTCGTGATCGGGTTTCTGATCTTCGGCGGGCTCATCGCGCCGCTCGCGGAGGTGAAGCTGGGGATGGGCGGGACGAGCTACCTGGAGTTCATCGAGTTCGTGGGCTTACCGCGGCAACTCGCGGAGATCGACCCCATCGTCGCGTCCTTCACCGGCGGCGCCGTCGGCGCCATCAGGCGCGTTCTATACACTGGTCCCCATACGACCGCGTTCGCGTGGTGAACGCCGATCCTTAAGGACTTTTGCCGTCGTGTCTCTCCGCCCATCCCTCGCTTTCAATCCCCGCCCTCGACGCCTTTCAACTCCAACTGACGCCTTTGAACTCCACCCCGACATCGCTTTGTATGGAATCGCCCTCAGCGCCTTCTTCGCGATCGAGATTCAAAACTTTAAGGAGCAGGAGCGGAAGCTGTGCATGTACTGCAAGGGGACGGGGTACCTCACGTGTGCGGAGTGTTCGACCAGCGCGAGCCCGGGGCGTCTGGTCGACCCCTCGAGCGGGAGTAAGTGTTACTGCGGCGTGTGCATGGGCACGGCGAAGGTGATGTGCACGAGTTGTCTGTGCACGGGACGGGGGATGGTGACGGAGCACGACCCGCGGATCGATCCGTTCGATTGATGATATGATTTGATATTGATATCGAGTGGCTAATTTGGGCGGGTTGGGGGCGGAGTGTATGGGTCGGGGGCGTAGCGTGACGACGAGAGAGAAGGACGCTTAGGCGCGGGCGCGATGACAAAAAGGGCGTTCGTTCTTTCTTTTTGGTTCTCTCGTCTCCGTCGTTCAGTCGACGCGCTCGCGCTTCTTCGTGTATCGGTTCGTTCCTGGGGGGTTGCACTCCGGACACCCGGTGGGTCTGACGCTCTTCGTGCGGTCGGCCACCCTCGTGCGCCACTCGTGCGAGCACCTCCCGCACTTCCACAGCGCCCTGTAGTGCGACGCATACGTCACCGCCGTCGGCGGCTTGTCCTTATCGACGTACTCGCGCGACAGTTTCTTGCCGAGCTCGCCTTTCTTCTCGCACCACGCGAGGAAGTTCTTCGTCTTGCTCGCCGGCGCATTATGCGCGCACTTCGGACACCCTTTGGGTCTTTCGCTCTTCGTGCGGCTGTTCATCTCCGCCCGCCACACGTGCTTGCACTTCAAACACTTCCACTTCGCCTTGTAGTTCGACGCTTTCGTCAGCTCCGTCGGCAGCTCCTCGCGGAACTCGTTGGCGAGCCTCTCGCCGCGCTTCCCGTTCTCCGCGCACCACTCGAGGAACGGCTTGCCCTTAGGTCCGGTCCGCATGATCGCCGTGCGAGACGCGGCGTGGCGGCGCGCGAGAGGAAGTGAGAGGCGACGAAAAGCCACGACACCTTCACAAAAGCAAAACTTCACGTCGTCGTCCCTTCCGAGGGAGCGCCTAAAACGTCGCGTCCTCGCCGTCGCGTCGCCACACGTTCATGAGCGGCCCCGGCTCGCGAGTCACCGGAAGCGGCGGCGCGAGCGCGATCTCGAGCAGGCTTCGATCGGCGCAGACCCGCTGCGCGGTCCAGGTCAGCCCTCCGTCGTCCCGCTCCACCATCCGTCCCCGGCGCGCGTCGCGCCACGTCGAATCGTTCGATTCATTTCATTCATTCGTCCGTCCGTCGAACGCTCCCCTGACGCCATCCCCCCCTCCCTCCATCCCTCCATTCCCCCCCTCCCTCGCGCTCGCAGATCGCCGCGTACGGCGCGTGCGTCCAAAAATCCATGCCCGACGTGACCAAAGGAGCGTGCCAGAAGGAAGCGGAAGCGCTCAAGACGTGCGTGTTCGCCGCGGCTAAAAAGTAGATTTAATTCCATCGATCGATCGATCGATCGTTCGTTCGACGGGGGTGAGGCGCGTTCTATACACTGGTTCCCATACGACCGCGTTCGCGTGGTGAACGTCGATCCTTAAGGACTTTTCCCGGCGTGTCTCTCCGCCCAGGGTCCCTCGCGTTCAATCCCCGCCCGCGACGCCTTTCAACTCCATCTGACGCCTTTCAACTCCACCCCGACGTCGCTTCGTATGGAACGACCCTGAGATCGTCGTGGAGGGCGTCGTGACACGTTCGACGATGACCTCGAAGCCGAGGCTGCTGACGTGCTACGTCTGCGCGCGCGAGTACGGCACCAAGTCGATCGCGATCCACATCCCGCAGTGCCGCCGAACGTTCGAAGCGAGAGAGGCGCTGAAGCGCGACGCGAGAGACCGCCGGCGATGCCCGGATCCGCCGCCGGGATACATGGATCTCATCGACGCGATCGGCGCGTCGCGGTCGCTCGGCGAGACGCTCGCGGCGGCGTCGCTGACGCCGCCGTCGCCCGGGTCGCTGTCCACGCGCGCCAAGGGGAGCCTCGTCGTGGACGCGATCAACGACGCGGCGTACAGGAGGTGGAGCGACGAGGTGCTGAGGAAGTGCGAGCGGTGCGGTCGGAGTTTTAATCCGGACGCGTATACGCGTCACGCGGCGCGTTGCGCCGGGAAGGGGCTGTCCCCGGCGCGGCGGTCCGCGCGCGCGGCGGCGTCGCGCGGCGGGAAAGTGGTGGACGTGGGGACGAAGGTCGCGGCGAAGCCGCGCTCGCCGGCGAAGGCGCCGCGCGCTCGGACGATCGCGTTCGACGACGACGACGACGACGACGAAGTCTGTGGGGATTCCGGGGACGACGCCGGGGACGACGCCGGGGACGACTCGGCGCGCTGCGCCTCGGACGAGGACGCGCCGCACGGCCGCCCCGTTCTCTCCGGCGTCGCGCTCGACACCACCCACGCGCCGTCGCTCGGCGCGGTCAGGGTGTACGAGAACGAGGACTGGTACCTCGCGCGCGTGAGCGTCCCGGACTGCGACGACGAGCGGTTCGTCGTCGAAATCTCAAACGGCGACCGCGGCGACCGCGCGGAGGTGCGTTCTATACACTGGTTCCCATACGACCGCGTTCGCGTGGTGAACGTCGATCCTTAAGGACTTTTCCCGGCGCATCTCTCCGCCCACCCCTCGCGTTCAATCCCCGCCCGCGACGCCTTTCAACTCCATCTGACGCCTTTCAACTCCACCCCGACGTCGCTTCGTATGGAACGACCCTGAGATCGTCGTGGAGGGCGTCGTGACCGGCGCCGCGGACGGCGCCGTCGAGCGCGCGGTGCCGGTGTCCATCTCGAACCCGGGGGTGTGCGTCGACTCGTACTTCACCCCCGTGCTCGGTCCGGGGACGTACCTGCCCGAGCTGCCGAACCCGGGGCGGTGGTCGCGGAAGTTCGCGCTGCCGGGTCCGGTGGTTTTGGAGCTTCGCGACGTCGACGGTCGGCTGCCCCCGGGTGAGACGCGGACGCACTACAAGATCGTGCATCAGCAGTCGCGGACGCTGGAGCTGTACTTTTGGAAGGAGAAGCCGAGCGACGTGCTCTCGCCGGTGCGGTCCCCGGGCGTCGACCGAGGCTTCTTCGCGTGACGGCGTCGCGTATCTATCTATCTTATATCTATCCGCCTAGTCGCTACGTTCTCTCATCAGTAGGCGCGTTCTATACACTGGTCCCCATACGACCCCGTCGCCGTGGTGAACGCCGTTCCTTAAGGACTTTTCCCGTCGTTTCTCTCCGCCCAGGGTCCCTCGCGTTCAATCCCCGCCCTCGGCGCCTTTCAACTCCACCTAACGCCTTTGAACTCCACCCCGATATCATCGTTCGTATAGAACGCGCCTCAGATCGTTCAGCCGCACGCGCTCTCCGACTCCGTCGTCCGTTTGCGTCTCTTAGCCTCGCGCCTGCCCTTCCTCCGCGCCTTCGCGTCGTCCTCCGCCGCGTGCCGTCGGTCCATCGCGTCGCGGAGCTTCTCCACCTGCGCCTCCGTGCCGTGGATCGGGAGCGAGTGCGCCGGGTCGAAGGGCACCTCGCACGCCGGGCACGTCGGCGGCGTCGGCGGCGATTCTGATTCTCCTCCTCCTCCTCCTCCTCCCCCCACCGCCGCCGCCTTCGCCGCCTCTCTCGCCGCCTTCTCCGACACCACGTGCCCGCACGGCCGCAGCGCGACGAACGCGACCGCCGAGCGCCCGCACCGCGCGCCCGTCGCCGGGCACTCAAACTCGGGCGTCTCCTCCGTCGCGTCCGCGGCTCTCGCGAGGCGCACCTCGAAAAAGTCCGAGCGCGCGCGGAGATGCGACGCGTCGCCGATCGCGCCCGAGCTGTTGAGCCGGTTCGCGTACGCGTACGTCGCCTCCTCGGACGTGAACACGCCGTGCCTCGTCAAAACGTGCGTCAGCGCGGTCTCGCGGTCGTACAGCCTCCCGAGCGCGCACGCGACGACGCCGCGCGCGGGAGACAGCGGCGCGCCAGAGAGCGCGCAAACGCGCCATCGCGTCTCGCGGACGACCGACGGCGGCAGCGCGCGCGAGGCGCCGTGCCGCCGATGCGAGCTGAGCTGCCCGCCGCGCGTGGACGTGGACGCGTCCGCCTGCGCGAGGTCCCACGACGCGCCGCGGAGGACGTCCGTGCGCGAGATGACCGTCCCGCCGTCCAGACCCATCGGATCGTCTTCGCGCCGCGCCGCGCCGCGCGCGCTTCGGTGTGTCACACGTAGTGCCGCAGCCGCACCGCAGATTAGTTGGGAGTTTCGTCGCGGTAGACGAGTCGCGCTCAGGGAAATTGCTCGTATAAAGTACACGTACGTACGAGAAGACGACGAACCGCGGTTCGGGCGGGTTCGGACGAAGTCGAACGATGTTTCGGGGACGCCACTCCGCGCCCGCGCGTCGCGACCGCAGACCGAGCGAGATGGCGCGTTCCTCACGCGGATACGGCGTCCTGAACGGCCACGGCGCGACGCGCTCGCGGGGGATCTCCTCGCCGTGCTGCGGGCGGCGCATTCGCGCGACGCTCGGCGCGTGTCACGCGATCCTAGGATCTGTCATCTGCCTCGCCGCGGGCGTGCTACCGACGCACTGGAACACGTACCTGGGGCACTTGGGGCCCGCGGCGGTGATGTACATCTTCAGCGAGCTCGAGCGGTACCCGGGTGCGTCGCGTCGCGTCGACGCGCGCGTCGCGGAGGCGCGCGGCGCGGCGTCGAATCGAATCCCCGGTCGACTCGTCCGAGAGTAACCGACGACTTCTTTCGGTCGGTTAAAATTCGGTTTTGGTTGCGGCAATGCAACGGGCCTACGTCACGTCCTTCCCCCGGCCGGCCGGCCGTCGTCCCCGTCCCCGTCCCCGCTGACGCCGAACGATTCCATCCCCAGGCCCGAACACGGTCGTCGCGCAAGGCTGGGTCGCCATCCTCGGCGGCGGCTTCTACGTCCTCTACGACTTGTTGTTTTCTAAGTGCCACCTCGACTTCGCGTGCACGTCGCTTCGCGAGCAACAGCACGTCGCCGTCAACGTCTTGTTCATCGCCATCGGGGTCGACGTCGTCGTTCACCGGTCGAAGTTCACCCTGTCGCTGATGGGGATCGGGTTCGGGATATTCGTGCTGTTGCACGAGCAGCCGAACCGGTTAGGCGTCGTCGCGCACGCGTGCGCGGGCGTCATGCTCGCGGTGTTCGCCGCCGCGAGGATGTTCGGACAGTTCGACGTCGCATCCAAGTCGCTGTACTACGCGTCGTACTTTTTCTTCTACTCTCAGAACGGCTTCGTCGAGATGTACTACGGCAAGGTCAACGACAGCGCGTACGTGCTGTTCGTGCTCGCGCTCGCGGTCTCGATGAACACGGTCGTCGAGGCGTTGGATTTCGCGTTCAGTGCCGACGACGCCGCGGAGTTCGAGATAATCAAGCTCACGGACGACTTCGACGACGACGGAGGGACGCGCGCGCCGGCGGAGTGACTACTGTAGCTCATCGAGTTGCCGAGTTGTTTTGTTTTGAAGTACACGCACTGTGCACACGTGTACTCGTCGACCCCACTATCCCTTCCAGGTACCCTACCTACGCATCCCCGCGCACGGCGCCGAGGTCGTGAAGCGCGTACAGATCCCCGCGTCGCTGCGTCGCCAGCGGCATGTTCCGCCGCCGCCGCGTCACCTCTCCGAGATCCAAGTCCGCGAAGACGATCCCCGGGCGCTCGTCCGTCGTCGCGAGCACCTCCGCGAACGGCCCGACCGCGGTGCTGTGCCCCCAGGCTTGGTACCCCTCCCCCGTGGTGTTCCTCGCGGGCGAGCACGTCAGGACGAAGCACTGAGGGCCATTCCATACAAAGCCATGTCGGGGTGGAGTTCATAGGCGTCAGTTGGAGTTCAAAGGCGTCGAGGGCGGGGATTGAACGCATTGGATGGGCGGAGAGAGACGACAGCGAAAGTCCTTAAGGATCGGCGTTCACCACGCCAACGCGGTCGTATGGGGACCAGTGTATAGAACGCGCCTGATTGTCGACGGCGCGCGCGCGTTGCAGGAGTTCCCAGTGATGCGGTCCCGTGACGGTGTTGAACGCGCCAGGGTAGATCAGGACTGTCGGCGTAGTGTCGGTCGGTCGGTGAGAAGATGGGGTCGGTCGCGCGGCGGAGGCGCGGGAGGGACCGAACGAACTCGAAACCGAGCGGTTTGACCGCGAAACCGAATGAGCTCATCAAGTCGTAAACAGACGCACCGTCGGCGCCTCGATTCGCCATCGCGGCTGCCATCTCTCCGAACCGCACGTCGAAGCATATCCCCACCCCCACCCTCCCGACCGCGGTGTCGACCACGGTGAGCCCCTCGCCCTCGGTCAACGTGTCGCTCTCCCTGAACGATATCTCCCCCGGGATGTCCACGTCGAACAGGTGCGTCTTTCGGTGTCGTGCGATCAGCCCCCGTTTTCCGTCGAAGACGCAGCAGGCGTTGTAGAGGACGTCCTCCTCGTCCGCGCCGCCGCCGCCGCCGACGCCGACGCCGCGCTCTGGGATGCTGCCGCCGACGAGGACGATGTCGTGCGCCGCCGCGGCCTCGGAGAGCATCGTAACCGACGGCGTCGGGTCGTTACTTTTTTCAGTAGTAGCCCTCTCCGCGCCGCTGGGCCAGTCCGCGATGGACGCGCCGATCGTCTCGGCGTGCGCGGGGAAGGATTCGTTCGCGTACGGGCAGTTCCTTAGGGTCGGGGCGGAGTCAGTCGAAAGGCGCGTCAGGGGTGGAGTCTTGGTGAAAGGCGTCGTGGGCGGGGGTTGAAACCGAGAGACGCCGGGAAGTCCTCGAGTCCTTAAGGAACGGCGTCCACCTCGCCGACGCGGTCGTATGGGGGACCAGTGTGATGTGATGATGATGAATGCACCGCACCACATCTCCGGGAGGACGACGAGCGCGGCGCCGCCCTCCGCGGCGTTTCGTATCGCCTCCCTCGCGCGCGCGATGTTCGCCACCTTGTCCGCGGTGGGACACGCGAGCTGGCAGAGCGCGACCTTGACGACGCGCGGCGCGGGCGTCGGCGTCGGCGTCGCGGCGTCGGACGCGGACGCCCCGGACGCCGACCACGGCGCGGGGACGCGCGCGAACGGGACGGGCGCGCCGGCGCCGGAGGAAGACGCCGCCGCCGCGGCGGCGGCGGCGGCCGTCGTCTTCGTCGCGCGCATCGTCGCGGTGGGACGCGCGGCGGTGAGGACGACCCTCGCGGCGGACATGGAGGGCGTCGACTGGTGACGAGACGACGACGGAAGGCGCTTTCTCTCTTGCGTCGCCCTGCCTGGGGCGCGTTTGGTTTTTGAAAGGAAGCTCGCGATCGCAAACCGCGATCAACATCCCGGGGTGAACGCGCCGACGTCGCCGATCGAACGCCAAACGACGGCCGTCGAGACGGCCGAGCGCGAGTAGTTTTCGCCGTAGTACGCGATACGTCTCCGTCGCCACTGCTGACTCAGTCTGCTTTCTCCGTCGCCACGAAAATCGGCACTGATTCCCGTCCCCATTCTCCGCCAATCAGAAACGCGCGCGGTGCCCTGCGAGGCGTTTCGGTGACTGACCGCGCGGCTCGACGCGTCGCGCGATCGCGCGCGAGGCGCGCGGCCGGCACAACCCACCGCACGCTCAACGCCATGTACGCCACGTCTCTCACCTCCAAGATCGCGGCGCCGGCTGCTCTCAAGCAGACGGTACGTCGTCGTCTCGCGCCCGGACCCGCGCGCGTCGCTCGATCGATCGATAAAGGCTTCTCGCAGCCGCGGGGCACGGAACCGCGGCGGACGGACACGACGGCGGATCCGCCGCGCGCGCTCTGACCCCCGCGCGTCCGGAGGCGTCGCGCCGCGCGCCTCGACGCCGCGGCGACGTCTCGGCATCGCGCGCGGCGCGTCCTCTCGCTCGCGCCGACGGCCGCGGCGGCGACGCGTCCGGAGACGCGCGCCGGCGTCCGTATCCGTCCGGTCACGCATCCATCATCCTCGTGTTGATTCAATCATTCATTTCGCTCATCACTCCGTGGGCCCCGCCCTCCCGTTCACTCTTCTTCTCCAGGCGTTCAAGGCGAACGTCAAGCCCGCGTTCGTCGTCCGCGCCGGCCGCACCATCGACACGGACGCGCGTCGCAAGGCGATGAAGGCGAAGCAAGAGGCGGACCGCAAGAAGGCGCAGGCGCGTCCCGTGACCGCGCCGGTCCCCGCGCGACAAGACCGCGTCGGCGCGGCGCGCGCGGTTCCTCGAGGACTTTCTCTCCCGGCCGGCGCATCTCTCCGCCCGTCGCCCCTCGCTTTCGATCCCGACACACCTACGCGACGCGTGCCTTTCAACCTTGTCGACTGACGCCGCCTTTCGACTCCACCCCGACGTCGTCAAAACTTCGTACGGCCAAACACCCTCAGGCGGCGAAGGACAAGGCGAAGAAGCTCGCCGATCAGGCCAAGGCGGCTGCCGTCAAGGCGAAGGAGGCGAAGAAGGCGGAGGAGGCGCGCAAGGCTGCCGCGCGCAAGGCGAACCAGGCGAAGTACAACGCCATGAACAAGACCGTCGGCGGGAGCTCCAAGCTCATCAAGAAGTCGGCGCCGCCGAGCATCAAGGATCCGTTCGCGGGACGCCCGAAGAAGGAGGGCGGCGGCGGCCTCTTCGGCCTCTTCGGGAAGAAGAAGTAAAGCGAAAGCGAGCGATATTACTCCGCGGTATTATATTACTCGAAGCGATTCGATCGATCGCGATTTATGATACTATCTCCTAACTTAGCGTCGGACGCCGACTCGTGAAGTGAAGACGAACGAAACGAACGACGACGACGACGACGACGACGACGACGACGACGACGACGACGACGACGACGACGACGACGACGACGACGACGACGACGACGACGACGACGACGACGACGACGACGACGACGACGACGACGACGACGACGACGACGACGACGCGCGAGTTTTGGTCGCGATCTCATCATTCTTTCGTCCAGTCGCGACGACTCTTCTACGCCAGACGCTGCGCTCCACCTCTCTCTTCTTCTATCTCCTCCCGCGTCCGCCGCCGCCCCTGGGCGAGACCCCCCCCCCGCCCAGCGTCGGGCTCCTCGGCACCGCGCTCTCGACGAGGTCCACGCTGCCGTCGTCCGCGCCGTCGATGCTGCCGCTCCGGTCGCTCAGTCCGTCGTGAAACGCGACGCTCCCGTTCCCGCCCCCCATCGACATCGACGCGCCCCCCGCGCCGGCGTCCATCGACACGCCGGTGTCGCGCCCGAGGCCGCCGTACGCGCTGCCGTACGGACTTTCCCCGCCGCCGCCGTCGAGCGAGAGGTTCCCGGTGTCGCGCCCGAGGTCGCTGTAGTCCAGGTCCTCGCCGATCTCGATCGACTCGTCGTCCGAGACGAGGACGTTACCCCCGGACGACCTCGGCGACGGCGACGCGGGCGGAAGTGTCACCGCGGCGCCGCGCTTGCCCATCGTCGCGCCGAGGTTCACGGACGGCGCGAGCGGCGCGAGCTTCCCGACCTTGCTCGGGGCCCGCGCGCCGCCGCCGTGAACGCCGCCTCCTCCCGGCCCCGTCGTCGCGGCGCCCCCGGGGGCTGGGAGCTCGTCCAAGGGATCTTCCACCCCGAAGTGACTCTCTAGCACGGCGAGGAGGAGCGGTCGCTCGCTCGATGTCCCTCGCGTCCCGAGCTTCGCGGCGAGGACGTCGCGCCCCTCGTAGTTCTCCTCCTCCCCCGACTCCGCGGCGAACACGCTTCTCGAGCTCGAGAGTCCGCTCCACTCGAGGTACTCGAGCACGAGCGCGGACAGGAGCTTCGCCTTGGGCAGAGAACGATGCTTCTGTCGACGTCCGTTCGCGTCGTCGTCCGCGGACGCGTCCTTCGAGCGAACCGCCTCGAACACGTGCGCGCGGAGCTCGGCTTTGAGCTTCGCGAGGACGCCCTTGCGCTCGAGCGACGTCGTCAGAGCCTGCGCGTGCGCGGGAGGGGCGAGGCGAGGCATGGCATGGGGGGGGGGGGCGTCTCAGATTCGCGAATGATGACGAGAGGGGGCGGAAGGGACGCGAACGGCCGACGCGCGCCTCCGCGCGTGCGAACGGACGGACGGACGGACGGACGGCTCCGCGCGGGCGCGTCGGCGACGGGCGACGTTCGCGCGATGGACGCGCGCCTGTTTCAGCTCGCTGAGCGCCTCCGGGCTGACGTCCATGGCGCGTTTCCGTTCGGACGGGCGGCGCGGGCGGTCAGTGCGACGAACGCCGTTCGCGACAGCAATTTTAAACGGGCTGGGATGGGCGCGAAAGGCACCGCGGACTGCTTCATCATCTTATTGCGTGTTCTCTCGCGCGCGATCTGGCTGGCACTCGCGACGGCGCGCGCGCGGCGATGCGCGACCGCGGCAAGGCGCGGCGGCGCCCGCCGCCCATGGCCCCGCCGTCGCCCGCCCCCGAGGACGAGCGCGACTCCGTGGACCTGTACGCCACGCTCGGGCTGACGCGAGACGCGTCCTCGGGCGCGATAAAAAAGGCGTATCGCACGCTCGCGCTCAGATTCCATCCCGACAAGAACCCCGGCGACGAGGTCGCGACCGAGACGTTCAAGGACATCGGCAAGGCGTACGCCATCCTGAGCGACGCGAAGAAGAAGAAGTACTACGACGACACCGGTGACGTGGAGGAGATCGACGTCAGCGCGGAGGACTTCGTGAGCGTGTTTCAAGAGATGATGCGCGAGATGCTCGGCGGAGGCACGATCGCGGACATGCTCGAGGGACTCCACGAGGACGACCTCGCGAGCATGCCGCCGTTCCCGTTCCCAAAAGCCTTGTTCCCCCCCGGGACGTTCCCTCCCGGGATGAAGTTCAGCGACGACTTTCACGTCCCCCCCGCGGTGGAGGAGCTGCTCGAGAGCGGCGGCCCGGAGGCGCTGGCGGCGCTGTTCAGCGGAGGCGGCGGCGGCGGCGCAGCCGGCGGCGGCGCGGGCGGGGGCGCGTTCTTCTCTGACGACTCGTCTGACGAGTGGGAGGAGGAAGAGGAGGAGGAGGCGGAGGGCACGCCGCGGATGCCGCCGCGGGCGGGAGGGAGGAAGAGCGCGAGCGCGGGCAGAACATCAGGGGGACCCAAACCCGGGGGGTCGTCGAGCCGGGGAGGTGAGACTGCTTCCCATACGACCCCGTTCGCGTGGTGAACGCCGTTCCTTAAGGACTTTTCCCGTCATCACTCTTCACCCGCGCTTCCCTTTCAACGTTTGACCGGTAAGACATTCGACTGACCGATCGCTTCACCCACGCAGGCGGCAGCCGGAGCCGGGGAGGACGCGCGGGGACCCGCCGCGGCGGCTTCCGCGGCGGCGGCTTCCCCGGCGGGATGATGGGCGGGCTGGGGCTGGACGACGAGGACGTGGACGACGACGACCTCGAGGCGATGCTGTCCCAGATGCCCCCCGGGATGTTCGAGCAGATGCTGCGGGAGGACGCCGGGAAAGGCGGCGCCGCGGGCGAGGAGGCGGACGCGTTGTTGTCGATGTTGTCGCAGATGGGCGCCCACGGGGGGATGGACGGAGGAGACGGAGGGATGATGGACGGGATGCCGCCGGATCTCGTGGATATGATGCAGCAGATCGGCATGGGCGGCGGCGGCGGCGGCGGCGGAGGGAGGAGGAGAGGCAAAGGCGGGGGGCGAGGGACGTTTCGCCGCGGGAAGTCCGGCGGCGCGACCCCGCCGACGCTCGTCGTCGATCGCGACGCCGTGGACGTCGGCGACGATTCGGAGGATGAACCGACGCCGAGCGGGACCCCCGGGGCGAACCACTCGAAGAACCAGAAGAAGAAGGAGAAGAAGAAGAAGGCGAAGAAGGCGAGAGCCGCCGCGGTCGCCGACGCCGGCGGGGCTGGGGACGCGACGACGACGACGACGACGACGACGTCCGTCCCGTCCGCGGCCGCGCACGCGTCGTGGAACCCGAAGCCGTCGACGTCGCGCCAACCCCCTCCCGGGTCTATCGACCGCGCGGAGGGGAAGCGGTGGATCGACGCCGCGAAGGAGGGTAACATCGGGACGATGCGCGGCATGCTCGGACAGACGCCGACGCTCTTGTATCACCGCAGCGCGGGAGTCGGACACACGGCGTTGCACTGGGCGTGCGCGCGCGGGGAGTCCGCGGTCGTGGACTGGCTGTTGTTCGAAGTCGACGCGGACGCGAACGCTTTGAACGCGGAGGGCGCGACGCCGCTGCACGCGGCCGCGAGTAACGGTCAGATGGCGGCGGTTTTGTCGTTGGCGCGCGCGGGCGCGGATCCGAACCGACGCGACGAAAACGGAGGTGCGTTCTATACACTGGTTCCCATACGACCCCGTCGGCGTGGTGAACGCCGATCCTTAAGGACTTTTCCCGGCGTCTCTCTCCGCCCACACCTCGCTTTCAATCCCCGACCTCGACCCCTTTCAACTCCAACTGACGCCTTTCAACTCCACCCCAACTTCGCTTTGTATGGAACGACCCGGAGACACCCCGGGGGAAGCGGCGGCGAGGCATTCGCACGCGGAAGTCGCCGCGGTGTGCGGTTTCGCCGCGAGCGGCGTCGGCGATCGTGAGGGGGGTTCAGCAGGCGCGCGAGGCGGCGGCGGCGGCGCCGCCGCCGACCTGGGGGCGGGGTCGAGCGCGCGGAGGACGAGCCCCGCGGCTTCGGCGCGGGCGGCGGCGACTCCCGCGAATCCGCGGACGCCGCCGCTCGCGGCGTCGCCGGACGACTTGGACGACGACTTGGACGACGACAGCGACAGCGACGGCGATGGCAGCACCAGTAGCAGCAGCAGCGACGACGAGGAGACGAAGAACGCGAAGTTCGCGAAGATGGCGGTCGAGGCGAAGGAGAAGGGCAACGCCGCGTTCGCGTCCGGGGATTACGCCAAGGCCGCGAAGCAGTTCACGATGGCGATTCGGTTCGATAAGACCAA